GCGTAACCAAGGTCGTATTTTATATTGGTGAGTATCCAATGGTGAGGTGAATTATTTTTCCTAATATGTCATCTTTTGGCCGCTGGATTTTACTATTTGATCTCCACTCCTTTCTTTTTTTTTCTGCTACGAAGGAAAGAGACATAAATTTCGTCACCACTGATCTGTGCTAAAGTTTCATCTAATATACCACTGCGTAATCTCAAGTGGTTCAAAAATACTACTCCGTAGAAGTTTTAGGCGACTGACGAAAACTACTGAAACCACTAGTTAATCAAGGCGTAGAAGCAATGAACTGAATCCCGCACAAAGATTGGACGGCTCAGACAAACAAATCTGAAATCTGCAAACCATATTCATACTCACTCCATACTCATAAAAGAAGTCGTTTAGGACAATGTTTAAGTCAAATTTTGGGAATATAAATCATGAATATTTCCTCCGGTTTCATTTTAATTGACGATTTGGATAAGGTTAAAGTCAAATTTTTATAACTTTGACCATTAATAACTTTAAAAATATTTAGTTTAAAAAAACTAGAACAACATACATATATTTATCTTTCAAAGCATTGTAATAAAAGTAAACAAACATTTATTTATTGTATATATTATAATAGAAAAATAAGGTCAAAAATATTTTCCTAGACCGTGTCATTGTCCAAAACATCAATTAAAATGGAACCGGAGGGAGTAACTCTCAACTTGTTGAGTTTGTAAATGTAAAAATTATATGAATATATTTGTCTTGAAAAATATTTTCACAAAAGTATACATATATCACTTTTCAATGAATATTTTTATAGAAACAAGAAGTTAAAGTTATATTTTGAAGACCGTGTCGATGTCCTAAATGACTTACTTTATGAGTATGGAGGGAGTATTCATGATCGATCAAAATTTCCATGACGCCATCCATACGTGCACACACACACATTAAATTAGTCATCTCTCCATCTACAATAAATTAGGATAAATAAATTTAGGAGTATTACCCATCTCAGTTTCCAAAGAGATCAATCGACAGCGACGACACGCCACAGCTAACCAATCAGCAGGGTAATTAAACACGATTACATCGGCGTAGTAATCAGTAGGTGTTTTGGAGAGAACGGACACGGGGAGAAGACAAAGCAGACCAAAACACGATCAACTATGAAGCAGCTAACCACCGTTTGGTCCCGATCGCGAGCAGAGCATACTGCGTTCGTGCGTGCGAGAGAGGAAGAAGGGAAAGGGGAGGAATGCAACGCAGAGAGAGGGGGTGGCGTGGCGGATTTAATTGCCGATTTGGTTTGGGGTGTCGGTGTGCCTGCGCACGACGGCCAGGGCTATTCAAGGGGTGGCCATTCATTTGGGGATGGGGGAGAGGGGAGGCGTACGTGCCTCACCTGATCGCCTATTAACCTGCCCCCTCCGTTCAGTTCAGTGATGTTCAGATTGAGCTCCAGTACCGGCAACAGTTTCAGCTTCACTTAAAATGAGAGTGAAGCTGGGTGGAGCGTTCTCACAAAATGAACTATATAGGTAAAACTGGATTTAGGTAGCTCCACAACTCCACTCCAAATCTAACTCCTGAAGTTAAATTTAGGAGTTGGAGCTCTACCAAACATACTGATGAGGACATCCTCCACTATTACCCGCTGGTAAAGACGCCAAAGTCGGGCGGTGATCGTGTGAGCCTATGAATAATCTCACCTTACTTAACTTGGAAGAAGGAAGCTAACTTAAAAAGGAGAGCCACCATTCCTCTATTGGACTAGTCTTTTAGGAGATTGGGCCTTTCCCTGAGTGGGTGTGCCAAAGAACTGTTGGCGTCCAGGCAACCTTAAATTATTGGACCTCGACCAATCTCACCTGGGCCGGATTGTTATCACATACATATATCCTTTGCTTATTTTGGGACGAATGAATTAGTATTTGGTGTCTGTGAACATGGGCATATATGCTTTGATTGCTCGATCCTTGCTTGAACTGAACCGATCATCGTGAAATGGAACATGGTTGAACCCATTTCTATTTTTTATTCCAAAAATATTAAATGCAAATAGGTCATCGGCACCAATATTGACCTATTTGTAAATATTTTCCTATCTAATAAGTATTTTTTTTAAAAAAAATTACAATTAGGTCCTTGGTGTCGGTATAATTGACATTGGCCCCCTTCCCATATGTGACTTGTGGGAGGCGAGGGGGGATAGCGTTAGTGTCAATGTTATTGGCGCCGTCACGTTGGTCCACGACAACAATGATGCTAGCGCCATGAAAATAGTCCATTCCTAAGATAATTTTTTTCTAAGGGTCTATTTATAAATATATTTTAAAAAGACAAAAAGTAAACAATTCTAGATTAGCTTGGGTGGACGTATTTTTCCGCATTTGTCAACCCATATGACGGGACAATATGAGAATGCTGAAAAATAATAATAAATTCGGTGAGGGCGTGAGGTCTCCTCTACAATAGAAGTATTTAATTCATGTGAGAAGTGTATATATTTTTCTACGTTCTAAAGCAGGGACGGATCTAGCCCCATTTGATGGGGCCATTTTTCCCTGTTGGATCAGCAAAAATTTGTAGAAACTAACTATATAATGTACATCATGATTATAACGCGGACCCCCTAAACATAAGACAATTATATTACTTCCTCCATTCTAAATATAAAGAAATTTAGTTGGATTGAATCCATCCTAATATTACGAATCTGGACAGATCGTAGTACTAATCTGTTCAGATTCAATACAGGATGTTATATACAACCAAAATCTTTTATATTTGGGATGGATTGAGGCTGTGTTTAGTTCCTGAAAAAAAGTTGAAAGTTTGGGGAATGTTGGAAGTTTGGAATAAAAAGTTGGAAGTTTACGTGTGTAGAAAAATTTTAAATGTGATGTGATGTGATAGAAAGTTGAAAGTTGAGGGTGAACTAAACACGGCTTAAATTTTGAAGTGGCTCAAAAAAAAAATCTTCATATTGAGGGAGTAATGCTGAAATACGGAGAAAATGATTTGGGCAAGCAGAGAGCACTAGCAGTCATAGTAGCTATAGCAGGCAATTGATGCGAACACAGTACCGTCCTGTTGGGCGGTTTGGCTGGATTAGTGGTAGCCGTGTACTCCAGGGGGCCGGCCGGCCCTCTGGCTAGGGTTAGCCGGGTCCCTTCCATCCTTTCCCGTGAACCGTGACCAATCCATCCATCCATCCACTGCATCATGTCATGTGTGCGTAGAGTATCCCGTGTGGGATGGGACGTCGCTGCTGGTCCTTCACCTGCTCATCATCCAGCGCCAAAACAGTAGTACGCTCGACGTGTACCTGCCCTGACGCCGTGCGCCCGCGCCGCATGTGGCCGTAGCTGTTGCCTCGCCATCAAATATGGCATACCCCCTCTCGGTTCTAAAATAAACGGAACTAGTATCGGATATTGAGATATTGATTGATTTATTTTAGATCACATTGGAGTATATTGGTATGTATATTGGTATGGCTCAGTCACCTCGGCCAATAAGGTTATATGTTAGACTTTTTTTTCATCTTTCCTCCCTCTCAAGAGAAAAATAGTAAATATAGTTTCTTGATGCCGATTGAGTTGTATCTACGTAACACACCTAGGTATTTCTAGTCATGAAAAGAACATTCAGAAAATAGAATGTGGTGTATTTATATATACTCCCTCTGTCTTGTGTTGTAATATGTTTTTGGTTTGAAATTAATTTTTTTAAGTTTGATTAAAATTATAGAAAAATGTAATAGCGTTTACATCATCAAATGATTTATATTAAATCCATAATTAAATATAGATTTTATACTATATATTTGTTTTGTGTTGAAAATGATGATGTTTCTCATAAACTTGATCATAAATAAATAAATTTAGCTTACGACAATCCCAAAATGACATGTAATATATTCTGTCTGTAAAGTAGTGACACAGGTTTTATACACTCTATAGTCTATAGCTTGTATAAATCTATCATGCATTATAGACTTCTAGGGATAAATGAAGTTAATTTTTAGTTAAAAATGTCAACACTCGTAAATTTTGTCTTGAATTCTAGTTTCTTAGGAGATATAGGTTAAGATGCAAGATTTTTTGCTTTACCTGTATTTTATAAACTTTATTTTGCATACATTCCTATTCAAAACCCTATGTGTTTCCCTATTCTTGTTTTTTGGTCTCCGGGCATTTCAAAGGTGTCTTGGTTTTCTCTAAAATTGGGCTACAGGAATTCAATCTATATGAATTTGGTGAGCTCAAATCCTCTAATCCTAAGGAAATGGATAAGAAAATTTCATAGGAGTTGTAAATCTCATTTTCTCTGTTCTACACACTTAAATTAATCATCACTCACCTAAACGTATGTTTCACAAAACAGTATCAATATATACAAATCAAATCCGTACAAGTAATCTGGAGGCTTATGTTTGTCACAATGAATAAATAAAATCTGATAAAACTTTTTGTATATTAATCATTACGGTTTTTTAAAAAATAAGCGCATGGTTTGTAATCAAATTATTGTCTCGCTACTATAAAAGCATCCGAAATCTTTGTCTATCACTCTATGCCGTACAAGGGAGGTGCCTTTAGCAATTTCTATATGATCCTATTTGCAACTAGACCCCACCATTAATATTATTAAACTAACAACCCTATCCAATCTTAAAAACCATGAAATTCATAAACAAGTACCCCTCTCCTGCCGTTCCCCACGTCCGCACACCATCCACCTCTCCCCGAGTAAAATCCCCACTCTACCCCTCGTCCTCCCAACACGGTTCGGGAAACCACCACCCGTTTTCGAGGGCAAGTTGGTCTTTACACGCGTACCCCGTCGTAAACGGCAACGGCCGTGCGCCCTCCGTGAGGGACGCGTGTCCCTCATCCCGCGACCAACGGGCTCCCGCAACCCCGCCACGTACCCACTGCGCACCCGGGCCCAGCGCACCGCCACGTCATCGTGGGCCCCACCTCACCTCACCCTTAAAATCGCCCAGGTTTCCTCCCGTTTGAACTCCTCTCGCTCCGGTGGTTTGTTGTTACCTTCGCTTTGCGCGGCGTGTAAACTGTGAAAAAAAAGGGAGGAGGAGGAGAGGGCGTCGTCTCCGCCGCTCGCCGGAGAATGGCCGCCGCCGGCTCCGGAGAACCACCGGAGTACGGGTGCTAGTAGGCTGTGGTTGGTTGGACTGGTGGTGGTGTGGTGTGGTGCGGTTGGTTACTTGGGGGGGTGGCGGTTTGGCGGAGATGGTGTGGTTGTAGTGGTTAGGATTCATGCGATCGATGCCGTTCCAGCTCAAGAACGGTCACCACCACCACGGCGCCATGGAGGGGAAGCCGCCGGTGACGCCGATGCAGCAGCAGCAGCAGCATGCGCCGCCGCCGAGGGTGTCGAGGTTTCGGAGGTTGCTGGTGAGGGTGTCTGCGTCGGAGAGGCTCGCCGGGGATGGGAAGGAGAGGGGGGAGAAGGAGGCGGAGAAGGTCTCCGCCTCCGCCGCCGGCGGTGAGGTGGAGGCCGGGTCGGTGGGGCTCGACCGCATGGTGCTCAGCTTCATGGAGGATTCCGCGGCCGTCGAGCGGCCGCAGCGCGGGCGCTGCAACTGCTTCAACGGCAGCAACTACGAGGAGAGTGACGACGAGGAGGGCTTCTTCCTCCCCTCCGACCACTCCTCCGCCTCCGCCCCCGCCGCCGCCGGCGACGCCTTGGAGTCTCTCAAGGTAACTGCACAATTCTTTGTTCCTCGCGCAAGCCGCACGCGGAATCCCAGAATTTCGAAGCCCCAAATCTTCCCCTTCGTCGGTAGAATCGAATTTGACCTTTGCGTGCGATTCTGGCAGGGTTTGGTGCAGAGCGCGAGCGTCGCGGAGCGGAATCTTCTCGCGGACGCGTCGAGGATAGCGGAGAGGTGCTGCAAGGGATCCAAGGGCAAGGCGGAGTGCCGCCGCGCGGTGGCCGACGGCCTCCGCGCACTCGGCTACGACGCCGCCGTCTGCCGCTCGCGATGGGAGAAGACCTCCTCGTACCCCGCAGGTACCCACCTCACCTCGCCGCAGTTCAGTTCGACACGAACCCCTTTTCCGGCTGGCCCCTGACCGCGGCGGTGGAATCTGTCAATCTCGGGCAGGTGAACATGAGTACATCGACGCGGTGGTCGGCGAGGAGGTGAGGCTCATTGTGGAGGTGGACTTCCGGTCGGAGTTCGAGGTGGCGCGGTCGACCAAGGCGTACCGGGCGGCGCTGCAGGCGCTGCCGCCGCTGTTCGTGGGGACGCCGGACCGCCTCGGGCAGATCGTGGCCGTCGTGGCGGAGGCGGCGCGGCAGAGCCTGAAGAAGAAGGGCCTGCACTTCCCTCCATGGCGCAAGCCGGAGTACATGCGCGCCAAGTGGCTGTCCCCGCACGTCCGCTCCGGCGACAAGGCCGCCGCCGCCGCTAAAACTGTGACGTCCACTACGTCGGCGACGGCGACGCCGGTCTCGGCGGCGAGCTTCTCCGGCGCGTTCGAGCTCCTGTTCGATAGGAAACAGAGCGGGGAGATCCCCGCCGCGGAGAAGATCACGGTGGTGGTGTCTCCGTCGCCGTGGCGCCCGACGGAGGAGGCGAGCAAGAAGAAGCCGCCGCCGTCGCCATCGCCGCCGCAGCTGTGGCAGCAGCATCAGCAGCCTCCCAAAGCGAAGGTCGTCACGGGGCTCGCCGCCGTCCTCTGAGCGTGGCGTGGTGAATAATAACTACCACTCTCCTAGAACTACTACCACCACTACCATCACTAGTTCATCGATTCTTTTCTTTGTTTTCCTCTCCTCTTTTTCGTTTCTTTTTCCACCGCGCGCTTCGATCCGTTTGGGGATCTAGTTTTTGGTGTTTTGGGGTTTTCCGGGGTTTTTTTCGGAAAAGAGAAAAAACACTTTGCGTTCCAATTTTTTTCCCTCTCATCTTCCCTTTCCCCCCTCTTCTTTTTTTGACCCTTGTAATTTTTGGTTTTAGCATTAGGGGCTTTTTGTGAAGCTGCTGTTCTTCACCCCTTCTGCCGAGTAGAACTAGTAATCTGTTACAGATTGTAAGCAGAGTGATCAAGTGATGCTACTTGCTTGCTTGCTGCAAAGCCTCGTGATCTTCTGCTGCTTCTCCACTTGTAGTTGGATAAATCCTAAAAAAAAAGTTTCCCTCTTGTTTTACCAGTTTTTAGTATTACCGCCCATCCTTGTTAAGTTGTAGCACTTGTAATCTCCATGGAAGAGATGAACAATGAGTAATTAGCTCAGATTCTTCTGCTGCTCCTTGAATTGGACATCCATGAGATTAAACTGCAAATTTGTGATCACTAATCAATTCAGTTCCAAACTTACCACTAGGGTGAAAATGAAACGGTACACGTACATGGCGTTGGAGAAAACAAGGAGAAATTGGACGGATGTGGCATGATGAACAGGTGTACAGTACAGTACGCGTACGCTCTCACCTGATCAAAGCAAGGGAAGAAGAGATATGAGATGAGGGGGAGAGAGGTGGCAGTTACTGCTCGGTGGGCCCGGATGGGACCCACCTCATCCGTTTCGCCGAATAAAACGGATTAAAATAATCGGCAGAAATGCGGAGAACTGCGAGCGAGAGATGGATCGGTGTGGACGTGTGGAGGAGGTGGGTGGGTGACTCCGCTCGTGCAGTCTCGAAAGCCGCGCCACCCCCAACACCACTCTGCAGACTGCAACCGCATCGATGCCTGCACACTGTCTGTGTACTAGTGCCAAATGCGACGCCTTCCCATGGGAATAGCGTGATTCCTCTCTGCTCTCTCTTTACCCAGTGGAGAGACCTTTACCTCGCTCTCACTTCACCTCCACAAGATTTCACAATGGTAATTTGTCTGGTTAAAATTTCGGAGCCAATTCGTCCTGCTTAGAGCAGGTATAGGTAAAATAGCATACTATAAGCCAGCCAGGTATAAATATATTTTAAAGAGATAAAGAAAGAGAGAGAAGAGCAGCGGGTTACAGATCTATAGCCAGCTACAGTACGGACTCCAAGACGTAATATTACGGACTCCAAAACGTAATGTATGTATGATATGTGAGACCAAATATTAATAGTATAGTAAACAACTATTGTATGAACTGGCTATTATATTAGCTATAGATGATTTGGATATAGGAGTTGGCTATACTATTAAACTTGCTCTCATGAATGTTCCAGTAAAAAACTCAGCGAACCAATTTCTGCGTTCCAAACAGTGCCTAGTACAAGAAGTTCACGTGAACCTGTTTTCTTTACTTGTGTAGGGGGAAAACGCTAAAGCACAGTGCGGTAGTAGTACTCGTGCAACTGTTGGTTAATTGGACACGCCTAAGCAATCGTGCAGGGGAAAAAAAAGTGGGTGACGAATTGTGCTACGAGCTTCGAAGTGTGCTACGAGCACTTCGTGCTTGGCAGTGCCCCCCGGATCAGACGACGCGAGCGATCTCGGGGAAGGATGTTGCCTTTCTCCTTCTCCTAGGTCTCGCAAACTGATGTGATCTTGCGTCAGGGGAGGAAAGCAAGAGAGAGAGAGAGAGAGAGAGGTTGGAGAGGTGAAACTGAAAAATGACGTCGTTGGCGTCGGGGACGGTAAAGAAAATGGGAGGAGGTGAGCGGTGATGGAAAGATTCGCGGTGGTGGTGGTGCCGCGGCTTTTGACCACCACCTGGCGGTTGGGCCGAGCAGCGAGTGCCCAAGTGGTGGCTTCTGCGTCGCCGCGAACCGGCAACCGTTGGTATGATCGGTGAACCGGTGAGTGCAAAGCCTGCCGCCACTGACTGACGTACTAGTGGTGGCATTTTCTCTTTCGGTTTACTATTATGGTTCGCTTCGGCTCGAAGCTACTCGTGCTAAACATGGTTACTGTGCTTACGGGTAGTGTGGTGTGGTGTGTAACGTGTTTTTTGTGGCCAACTTATCTACTCTGGCCCCTTGTTTTCTGATTAAGCTACATATATTTTTTACGGTATTATTAGCATACTTTTAAAATTGATAAACGAAGACATACATACATACACACACTATTCTAAAATATGATATAATATATTTTCAAATTTGTAACAATTAAAATTTAAATAGTCATGCATTAATGGGTTCTATTATTTTTGTAGAAATGAACACATCATTGCCGGTTATACTCTAGCACAATTAAGGTTAAGCAAGTTTTGAGTGTCACAAAAGTGTGATGACATAAAGTGTGACAAAATTGATAAGAAAATTAAATCCACGACACATCAAGTTTGCAATTGAAAAAGTATGACAAGTCACAATTGTTACAGTGAAACAAACAAATGTTTAACACATTGTGATAGCTAAAAGTGTGATGTGGTAGAATGTGACCGTGAACCAAACCCCCCTTTCTAACACTGGTGTGGTGACACCGTAACATTTGCAGCTGAGCCAGGGTGCAACGCTGCTTTGGTTCCCTCTTGGTGTGCCACCACCACTTGTAGCCTGGCCGTGATTCTTCTTTTCAGTCCCAGTCTGCAGTAGCCACACCACCACCACCACCACCACCACTGTCAGGTGGGCCCCACTCCAGCCACCATCCCCGGTAAATGGCAGTAGTAGTATAATCCATCAGCGGCGGGCTTGGAGAGAAGAACCTGACCGTGACCGACCAGCCACCGGTCGTGCGATGCGAGAGATATCGCGGCGCGCGTCCGTGTGGCTACGCGTGGTGCAGCGTGAGTAGTCGCGAGCGACAAGGGGCATCGCGTTGCTGCTGCTGCTCCCGGTAATCGCCAACGCCAATGCCGAGACGGTTTGCACGTCTTGCTTTCAGGAAAGCAACGCCCCACCCACCGCTGCCTGCAGTTGCCCAGCGCAAGAAATTTCCGACTCTCCAGTGTAGTTTTGATTTTAAAAAAATGGTACGGTTTCTTATTATTTTTTATTCTAGCATATGTAGAATTTGATTTATTTTAATAAAAAAATTCTATCAACTTTAACTTTACTAAATAGTTAAATTGATAAATATAAAAAATTTCTTGACTGATCGAGAATGATTTAGATAGATTAGGGGTGAAATTAGTATAGAAATTTCCAACCATATTGATATTGTTTTCGTAAGAATAATATAAAAATGTTGTTGTTTTCAACCGTTTTCGTCTTTAGCTATATATAAAATTAAGTTTTTAAACTTACAGCAACGTCATATTAAAGTTATCCCTAAATAGTTGTTTTCATATAGATTTTTTTTCTAGAAACACAGTATAAATGCAGTCGCTCACAGCGCGTGCATACTCACCCGTATGAACGCATAATAAATGCTATCAATAAATATGTCACCTATCACTTAAAAAATAATTAGCCGTACATGCGAGCACTCATGTCAAATCTTAGATTTGAACCCGGGTAAGGTGGTTCCACCACAATGAACATAACCAATTGAGTTACGTGCACTTTGTAAATACAGAAATCTTCTAACGGTGCTGAAATCGTTTATGAGGAAAAAAAAAATCATTTTTGACCATTTTCATCTCTAGTTGCCCCACCCTTCTCCTCTTCAACCAATGATTCAACTGTCCATAAAATCTTCTATTGGATGTATTTAGTTCACACTAAAATTGAAAGTTTCGATGTGACGGAAAAGTTGAAAGTTTGTGTGTGTAAAAAAGTTTTGATGCGATGAAAAATTTGTAAATTTAAAGAAAAAATTTGTAACTAAACTCGGCCTATAGGCCTCTCACTATCTCCCCCTCGGCATCATTGCAGTGGAAATGTGAGAACTTCTCTTTCCTTCTCTGTTGTGTGACAGGGTCACAGAACTGAGTACCAAACTTCACAGGCAAGGAATGGGCTGCCTCACAGTCTCAGCGGTACACACAAGGCGTGAAAAAGATAGGAGAACGACCTGTGCCGCGATGGGGGTGAGGTGAGGTCCCGGAAAAAAAAGGAAAGTAGCCGGGGGTAAAAAAGAAAATAAATAACGGAGAAAATAAATAGTTAATACTCAATTAATTATGAGCTAATGGCTTACCTCGTTTTACGTATCTCCCTAATCTCCTCAATCCCCTTCTCCTCGAACACACCCAGAAGGAGGAAAAGAGGATGGGTCTTTCTCATCGCCTATTCTCACCAGAGATGTGTAGTGGTGGTACTTGGTTGGGGAAGGGGATGGATTTTTGTTTCTTTTTGTGTCAAAAAAGGCAGTAAAATTGCATGTGCCATGTGTGGCAACTTTGTTTAGGCCTTTTGTTTTAGCAACTTTTTGTTAGGATTGGTTGATTATAAATTGGAATAGTGATATCCTTCATTGCTTAAGTTAACACTTAACAGTGGTCTGATGATGAGGATGTTTACCTATTGTTTGGTTGAGCTTTCTCCTGTACTTGAGTACTATGGATAGTATCATTGTACAGTTTGTATAACTGAATAATGGAATAGTTTGTGGTTTTCAAAAGAAGATTCACCAATGGTTTGTCGAATAATGAAAATGGAGATGTTGAATCGACTGCTTGAAAGCTGATAACCTGACAAATAATGGAGGAAGACAAACCTTCAATCTTCTTTTTCATGAGGGCGACTCTCTTAAATTTGTATCATTTTCTCTCCCGCTGTATTTGACAAGCAACAAGGCTGAGTAATATCCACAAAAAAAAAAGAAAGGCAGTATTGATCTAGCAGTTCCAAGCTTATAGCAAAAGATTTATCAAAAATAATCTTCTTTTCTCTCTCTCATTTTCTCCGCATAAAAAAGATTTGACTACTTTAACATTCAAGGGAAAAGTTAAAGGCGGGAGAAAAACGACTTGTGAATAGAAGGGAGAGCTCTAAGTAAAAGCAAAAGCACAAGCCTTGCTAATCATCTTTCTTTTCACGGGAGGCTTGAGAATAAAAGTGAAAAGAGGCAAACAAATTAAACATGGCTATGAAAACTTTTCAAAGAAGCAGAATCGAAGGGAAAAAACAGTTGGGGAAAAGAATACAATATGTGAAAATAAACTGAAAGGAGAAGGAAAAAACAAAAGGGCCAGAATTTGCAACTTTCCCTTTCATGAGAGGCGCTCCCTTTGATTTCCTCTCTTTCAACCCACCGGTGATTTACCCAGAACAAACTGAAAAGTAAAAGAAGAAAATAAAAGGAAAAAAATATTCTGTTGTTGTAGTGGTACATGTTCATCTTATCATGTTCGTTTCCGAGCGAGCCAGGAGCATAGCATCTGAGGTTGTTTTCAGATTGCTCAACCCTTGGAAAGATGTAATGGAGAAGATACCATGAAAAATTCAAACCAATCTATAAAAATATGAATAAATTCAATTGAAATGCAAGGCATCGATGTGATGATATCTTCTCTCCTGTGGCTTGTGCCGTCCGTTGTGTTGTTTTCACCCAAAAGCAAAGCTTCGTTTTCCTTAGCCACGGGACGAAAACTTGAGCTCCTGTCACGTAAAAGAAGGGAAAACGAAGGTTACATTGTTACATGGCCACAAGTTTGTTTGCTGCTGCTGTTTGATGCTGTTCCATATATATGGCCAATCTAGCGAAGTTGTAATGTACTACCTCCATATTTTAATGTATGACGCCGTTGATTTTTTATCTAACGTTTGACTATTCGTCTTATTCAAAAAATTTATGCAATTGTCATTTATTTTATTATCACTAGATTCATCATCAAATGTTATTTAAGCATGATATAAATATTTCTATATTTGCACAAAAAATTTAAATAAAACGAATAGTCAAACGTTAGTCGAAAAGTCAACGGCGTCAGAGGGAGTAATACTCGTTTGTCCCTCTCTAGTCTCTACCAGCGACATTCTCTACCAGCGACATTGTTTTCCCTCTCCTTTTCTGGTGCCAGTAGTTGTAGTGAGGGATTAGCTATACAATTTTTGACAAAGAAAAAACTCTCCAAAAAACTTCAAATATAACTAGGAGTATACTATAATTACATTGCTATTACGGAGTATATTTTAACTTACATATAACTTATATATAGCATTCGTGTTCTTAGTTTTTCTCATTAAGTTTGTTATAAATGTAAAGAGGAAAACAAACATACTTCACTTCTTTTCGATCCCGTGCAGGTTTTGATCTGAAACTGAAGAAAATGTTGGATCGTTAACTGGTACAGGGCCCTACTGGAGACAATAGGATGGGCCTCCAAGGAGACATTGAATGCATGGGGTGTGGTCCGTGGCCTAGAGGCGTAGTACTAGACTGGTTTTGTTTGTGTTCGTGGATGTGGGCTCAGTCGCCGGCGGATCCAGCGGGCCTGCTCCTTCCTGGCCCGGCATTGCCTTAGCATCTAGTCTCTAGGGTGGGCCTACTGGTTACTGTACGCTAGATGTCCGACGCGGGTGAAACGGTTGGGCCGGGCCCAATGAGGTTCATTTCTATGGGCCGGTCTGCTAGCTTCCTTTGAGCCCAGTATGGTCACAGCACGACGGGTCTACGTACTCCAGTTGGGCCGGGCTCCCCTGATATTTTTTGTTGGGCCAGGCTTCTTTTCAATCCCTACGTGATCTGACTGCGGCGCATCCTGCTGGGCCTGGGCCACGAGATGGTGACTAGGGTTGAAACCACGATAATCCTCGTGATAACCACACGGTTAGCGAGATAATCATCTTACAGTGGAGTGACATCTTACGGTGGAGTGACAGTAACCCACCCAAAACCGTTTTGGTGAACCCTGGTGGTGGCTATAATAGCTTGCCGGTTGGACGCGGTTGTGCCTTGGGATGATGCCATGCTGGTAGTAGTTTCTTCTCTTCGGCCGGCCTAGTTTTTTTCATCGCTGTGTCGCTTTGATATAGTGGTATGTGTCAGGGTTATGAATACCACATACCTAATAGTAGTTGACTAAGCTCGGCAGGGCCCACCATATACCATGTCTTATACGGAATCAAACCTCGTATATAGAAGAAATTCCGGAAAAGGAATGACAAATGGAGTTCTATATGGAAACGACAAGAACTACTCGGATCGTATCCATATTTATCTCCCTAGTTTTACTTGGATAAGGGGGCATCTATGGGTATAAATACAAGCCCCCATAGGAGGAGAGGGGACATGCCACAAAGCCACAAGCCAATACAAATCAAATATCGACATCAAAGATTAGTCTAGACATACCCCATCCGGCGTCTACGGAGGCCGGCAAGAGGGATCTAGCGCCATCTCTGATCTTGCCGAGTATGGATTCGAGGAGGAAGACCACCCTATCGTCGACTACGAGTTGGTTATCTAGTTGCCAAGTCAACGACAGCTAGATAGGTTATCCCAAATACTGTATTTGTGTGTCCAGATGAATAAAGAGCAACACTGGCTTCGACCAACAGGATGTAGGGCTGTTACCTGTCAGATTAGGGGCCCGAACCTGTATAAAAATCCCTGTCTCGATCTCTTTTACCTCAATCTCGCATATACCCTGGTACCAATGATCCCCATACCATATAAATATTGTAGTCGTGATATCAAACGTCGACAGTATGTTCTTCTCCTTTGTTGATCATTCCAAATCTTGTTATTGTACGTCTCCGGAACCACAATATCATATAGTGGAATAAAAATACTAATTATATCTTATTTTAATAATACATTAATTATTTTTTCGCCGTTGCTCGAGCCGTATCCATGGCAAGAATCTATTAGGTGTGTACAATACCACACTTCTATTTGCATGTTCGTGAATCAAAAACGTCACAATTACCGTGCTGTTTTAAAAGAGACGTGCAAAAATATTTGAGTAAAAAACCTTTTTATAATTGTTTAACAACTAGAACCACATTAAGATTATGTGTGGACAGTAACCTTATCCTCCTCTCTTCTTCTCTCCCACTGGAGCAGATCGAGCTCACTGCCCCTTGGCCTCGTCGGTGTCAGCAAGGCCCGTCCATCCGATCTCCTCCTCCTCGAGCCGTGCAACAATGTGGTTCCTCTGCCACCATGGTCTTCTCTATTTTCTACGGTTGCCTTTATTGTCGCTTTGCTGTTCACCTATGTCCACCACCGTCCCACGGTCATCCCTCTAAACTTTGATACCCCTTTCCTCCCACAACTCTCTTCATACCTTGAATCCTAACTTGTCAGAGCTGATGCGACCTCATTGAATTTGCCGTGACTCGATAGAGCTAGAGGAGAAGGAGGCATACGCGGATTTGATGGGCCAACATTTTATAGAAATCATCCCAAATTTATATCGAATGAAAGTCAACAACTCCAAATTAAAAACGATAAAGATATTTATAAAAGAAAAAGAGATATGCGTAATTGTTATCTGGTTGATAATTGATAGTAAAAAAATGTCTAATGTTGTCAAAGTGTAAATACTTCATAATTTTTTTCTACAAATGTCTGACGTTGTCAAAGTGTAAATACTTCATATTTTTTCCTATGCCGTTTAATGGATCATGGAGAAAGGAAAAGTATAGGCTCGTTCCTTCTATGGCTATTTTTAACCTTTCCAAATTATAGTAATGCCAAAATTTGGTAAGATAACAAACTAAACTCATCATTTTACCATAACTCCACCAAAACTTGATAAATCCAAAACCTTCAACTAGAATTTGGAAAGGCATCAAGCCAAACACCACCAAACTTTATCTTGTCATACCAAAAATTGGTAATGTCAAAAATTTGGCATCGATAAAAAAAGAACTTGTAAGGTTTATTCTGGCAATGAATTAAACAGGATGTCAAACTCTAATGTCACGAAAGTACAATTTCCTCTTGCAATGAATATCTCTACCCAGTACATTTTGTACTACTACTTCGAACGGGCATGGTCGGTCATGCACCTCACCACCAGTCCCATCACAAACTTGCTCTACTGCTCTCGCAAAAATTCGTCCGTACCAGTAGCAGCGGTGGAGCCAAGTAGCCAACCAGTCACTGCCATGTGGGCCCGCTAACGTGGGTTTTTCTCCCATCCCAAGGGAGGAGGAAGGAAGACGAGCACGGGGGAGAGATATCCCTCCCAAATCCGCCATCGCCGACGACTCACGCCGACACGTCGGAAGTCGTTGGCTGTCACGTGGGCCCCATCCACACCACTGCCACGTGGGCCCGGGTGACGCCACGACCACCCCGCGACCAATCAGCAGCACGTCGCTAATTAAGCTTAACGAAAATTATGGAGTATTAATCCAGATCACGCGATATAAAGGAGAAAAAAAACAAATGCCCGCTTAAATACGGAAGCGAGGCGACGCGAGCATCACTACTCCTCCTTCCCCCCAAATTTGCCTCCTCCCACCCTGAGACCTCGTCGTCGTCGTCTCCAATCTCGAGTTCCTTGCCGTGGAAGCAAACTCCGCATCCATTCTCCCAAAACCCTAGCCCCCGGATCCCGGCGCGCGTCGCGGGTTGCTGTTCGTTTGCTGGATCCTTCGCCCGGGGGTTGGCGGTTGACGCGGCGGCGGCGGAGGTGGGCCATTGGTGCTCGCCCTCGCCGCATTGGGGGCGCCTGGGGTGTCGTGCTTGCTCGTGGGGGCGGAGATCTGGGAGGAGGAGGAGGAGGTGGTGGTGGTGGTGAAGCCGCGGAGGTGCTTGGCTCAAGCGCGGAGATGGGGCGGTGGGCCGCCGGGATCTGCGCGGTGGCGCTGGTTTGGCTCGCCGCGGCCGCCGCGGGAGACCTCGAGCCGGACGAGCTAGAGCGCGCGTGAGTATCCGATTCCCGCTTCGTGGTTCCTGCTTGGTTGGTGGCTGCGTCAATCTCGGTGCTCGTGTTTTTTGGGGGGTGGGATTTCGCGCTGGATTGCGCAATGCTTTCGTATAGTGCTAGCATTTGCGCGTGTATCGATTGGCCTTGAATGATTTGGGTGGATGCATGCAACGCAATGGCAGTTCGTTGTAGATTGGTGAGCCGCGCTCAGCTACGGGATTCGTACGGTGCAATGAAGCTAATTCTGGTCGGGTTCTCGTTGCCAATCTGTCATCGTTTTGTCATGCCTGTCTCATGCGGCCATTGCAGGGGAGTTGAAAGAGCTAGTTAGGTGAGATGTCGAGGAATATTAGGTGGTTGGTACATTGGGGCTTCCAGTACATGAAAAATGCCAAGTCGATGGGTGTTTTAGAAATTCGTTAGTGAATGACTTATGAGCGATTGCAACTGTTGCAACCTTGAAGCAGTATTGAATTTTCAATTTCAGTTGAACAATGACTAATTTGATGAATTATACTCTTCCTGTAGTTGATTGATGAATGCACTTTTATTTTTTCTCTACTTCTCCATAGTTATATTAAGATATGCTTTAGGCTTATGGCTTGCCGGATGGCTGGAAGTCGATTAATTTCTCTCAAACATCACTAATTTTGGAAGAAATTTACATTTCTAATTTCTCTCAAACATCACTAATTTTGGAAGAAATTTACATTTCCTTGTCTGTTAAATGAGCGCAAGTTTGACGTAGATTATGCCACACTGCAAACAAACATATATAAAGGTGTTCCGTAAATAACACTGGAGGGTTCAGTGAGTTGACTGAAGAGGTTACTTAATCCTTAAAATCCTCATGCAGACAGTTTTGTTCACTTGCTACTATGATGTTTGTGAATTTTCTGCTGTAAACATGGTATTGAGTATCAAATGTGTATACCTGTACAGATTTCCAATTGTGGAGCCAGATTATGGCCACACTAAGCTCCGTCTCTCACAACAAGGTCTAGACGCAATTCGAAGGATTGAAACTCCTATTGCTGTTGTTGGTGTAAGTTTGAACTTAGTATTTGGAAGAGCTTTACTTTGACTGAAGCACAATATTAAGGTATGCTGGTGAATAAAATTGATTTTGTTTCTCAACGTAGGTCATTGGTCCATATCGATCTGGAAAGTCTTTTCTCCTCAACCAGCTTCTCTCTTTATCATGTGAAAAAGGTAGACTCTACTCCTGGTGTTTGAGATGCATAATAGGACTAAGAGACCTTTAGGGCTAATGAAAACATGGCAACTATGCAGGTTTTGGAGTTGGTCATATGCGAGATACTAAAACTAAAGGTGGACATCTTTTTTGCTTGTTTTAATGTCTTTAATCTGTATTTCTATTTGCTGATTGATGTCTAACAAGCTATAATCATACTTGTTCAATTGTTACAGGTATATGGATTTGGGGTACACCTGTTGAAATGGACATTGATGGTTCAAAAGTGTCTGTCCTTTACCTTGATACTGAAGGATTTGAGAGTGTTGGGAAGTCAAATGTATATGATGATAGGTCTGTGTGCAGAAATGGAATGTGAAGAAGTTTCCCATTTACTTTTTCTATGATAGAAAGGTTACATTGTTGTTGGTATCATTTTATTCATTTCTTTTGTGGCAGGATATTTGCTTTGGCAACTGTCTTGAGTTCAGTGCTAATCTACAACCTTCCTGAGACGGTAATCTATCTCTCTACTCATATACACGCATAAACTCACTTGTCTGTTTGTGTGTGCTTAGACTTTTACTTGTTATGTCATTGCAGGTGCGTGAAGCTGATATATCTAGGCTCTCATTTGCTGTTGAGATTGCAGAAGAATTCTATGGAAGGTTTGTTTGCCTCTTTGTATTTTCATTTGCAGTTTGCTCCTTTCTTATCACTAACAATTTTCCTGAAAATTTTGATGTGCATCATGGTGAGCAGAGTGAAGGTAATGTTCCATCTCCATGGATCTATCTGGATAATTGAAATAGAAATAGAATTCTGTGAAGCTGTTAATGACATATGTTTGTTTTTTCAGGGGCAAGATGTTGCTTTTGAACCAGCAAAGCTTCTTTGGCTTATCCAGAGGGATTTCCTGCGTAAGTTGCTTCTTGCTTCTTCTTTTTTAACTATAAGCATGGTTTAGCTGTTTAGGTTCTCATTTTGTTTGTATAGAGGTTCATACTGGCATCTGAGGTTTAACCCAGATACGATTGATGGTCACAATTTTATACTTGAAACTTCACATGGATACGTCACCATTTTGTTTGGGTCTCAAATGTGTGAGAGGTTGACTCTTTCAAACCATTTTATAGACACCTAGACAGAAATGGTGATACAAACATCCAGTAAGAAGTGTCATACTGCTGAGGTATCCATTTTATGTGACTGTGTTCTATGGCAAGATGCCTATTTCATAAGTATCCATGAGTGGCCATGGTTCTATTTTTTTCCCCAATTGGTCTAAAGTGTCTGATATTTTATCTAAACTTTTTTTTTTAAAAAAAAATATATGCAACTTTCTCTGAGTGCTTTAACTTTTGTGAGCAGAAGGAAAATCTGTTCAGCAAATGGTCAATGAAGCCCTCCAACGGGTACCTAACGAAAGTGGTTAGTACAAGTTGCCTTTTTGACTATTTTATAGCTAATGAATATCTAGAGTTGTCTTGTGCATTGTTGGATTGATCTTCTTTAATGAATTTCTGCAGGGGACAAATATATTGATGAGGTACAGTTATTTACAGTGCGTACATTTTTTACCAGAAGACAATGAATCCCACTGCCTCAACTTGATTTCTGTGCTTTTTAGGTTAATCAAATTAGAGATTCTTTGGCAGTTATGGGCAACAACAGCACTGCTTTTAGCCTGCCCCAGGTGCATTTCCGACATCCATGCAGTGCCTCATTAATCTTATTTATAGTTTTATACGCTTCTCGCTCCATCAAGCACTTTTTACCGTTTAACATTTCTATTATGTAGCTGATAAGCATCACGATTTTTCTGTATGGTACGATTGATTGTGATAATTTTGTCTTGTTATATGTTAAGTATGAACTATCAATGTGTCTTTTTACAGCCGCATCTACAAAGAACAAAGTTATGTGACATGGATGACAGAGAGCTTGACCCCTTATATGTAAAAAGGCGGGATGAATTGAAGCAGGTCGTTGCGTCCATCACAAGACCAAAAATTGTGCAGGGGAAAACTCTAAATGGAAAGGAATTTGTTTCTTTCTTGCAGCAGGTAGAACCCTTACCGTCATTATTCTTGACATCTCTCTAATCCATTAGATTATTTTTATTGACTTCTCTTGTGTTCCAGATTCTCGAGGCATTAAATAAAGGAGAGATTCCATCAACGGGATCTCTTGTTGAAATTTTCAATAAGGCCATTCTTGATCGCTGTCTGAAGGTGTATAGGGATAAAATGGATGGCTTACGTCTACCAGTACCAGTAGACCGACTGCAACAAGTTCATGAGACAGCAATTGATCAAGCTAGAATGCTGTTTGATAAGCAGCACTTTGGTAAACACCATGCTGCTCAGTCAATCCTTAAGCTTGATGATGAGATAAAAAAGGTTTGTTAAAAACACATAAAATCCTTTCTTTAATACGCATGTAGTCTTAACACTATTAGTTTGGAATGCATTTTAATACAGAAGAAAAAAACTAAGATTAATGAAGTGTTATGGATCCTCACATGATACTGCATTAATTTTTATGCTATATAAAACTATTTTTGGAATTGATCCCTCGACTGCCATTTGGTAGTTGTAGTCTTAACACTATTAGTTTGGAATGCATTTTAAGACAGAAGAAAAAAAAACTAAGATGTAATGAAGTGTTATGGGTCCTCACATGATACTGCATTAATTTTTATGCTATTATAAAACTATTTTTGGAATTGATCTCTCAACTGTCATTTGGTAGTGAGGTTTTTTTTGCTAACCTTTATGTACCATTTGTTATATGTCTTGTGATCGACTTTCACTTCTATCTCTTATAGAAGATAATATATTTACATACTTACAGGGTATACCTTGTAGGTGTACAGAAACTTCCTTCTAGCAAATGAGTATCAATCATCAAAGCTGTGTGAAGCACGCTTCTCAGAATGTGAAGATAAAATGGACCACCTTCAAGTCTTGAAGCTCCCTTCCATGGCAAAGTTCAATGCAGGGTTTTTTCACTGCAATCGAAGTTTTGTAAGGGAATGTGTGGGCCCTGCAAAGGAAAGCTACGAGCGCAGAATGTCAAAGGTATATAACATGTTTCCTTTACTGCAGTCCCAAGATAGTTTGCATGACATCTATGGAATAACCCAAGGATGAAATGTGAAATTCCATTTGCATCCTGTACTTTTCCATTTGCTCAGTAATTGAGGTAGGAGCTCTTTTCGCTTATTTATAGAAACGTACAACTTCTTCACCAACTCAACACATTTTACCATTTTCGCATATAGTTACTCCTGGAGATCAACAAATTTATCTCATATTGCCCTTTGGAAAATATTGCAACATAGTGCTCTAGTTCCTTTTTCTGACCTATCAATAGATAAAAGAATCATGTAAGATAGTGAGCTGATGCATAAGTTTAGGGCCTTGCCATAACATATGCTGTTCTTGCCTTGGAAAGCAGAGAACAAACTGCTTTTAGAGATAATTATGCGAAGTGATGTATTACCCCTTTTTCTTGTCAATCTGCAGGTTGTTTCTAACTCTTGCTAATTATGATATTTATCTAAATAAACTCTGATATGATATCGCATACAGATGCTTGTCAAGTCTCGTGCTCTTTTTATCAAGGAGTACAATAACAAGCTCTTCAATTGGTTGGTAACCTTCTCCCTAGTCATGGTGGTTATTGGGCGCTTTGTCATCAAGTTCTTTTTACTTGAGATTGTTGCCTGGGTGATGTTCATCTTCCTGGAGACGTACACGAGGATGTTCTGGTCAGCAGAGTCATTGTACTATAATCCAGCTTGGCACATCATTGTCTCTTCGTGGGAAACTATCGTATATAGCCCCATTCTCGATCTGGACAGGTAGCCTTCTTGCTCCAAGCTTGCACGCGTAATTATCAGCTTACATGTCATTCTTGTATTAATCAGTTCCGTCATGCAATGTTTTATGCAGATGGGCGATCCCCATTGCCGTATTATTGTCTTTTTGGCTTCTTTACTGGCGATGTTTCGGTAGAAGAAAACGGGGCAGCCGATCGTCACTCCTGCCACTCCACAACAAGATCTCCCACAAGAACTCAACGCGCCCGAGATCAGACTAATCTGATGCTCTTTTTTCCCTGAAAGGACAGTACAAAGTATCAAACTTGTAGAAGCAGAAGATAGCTGTGAATCATCTGTCTTGTCTTCCATGCCGCGTTGGAGTGGATTGGATTGGATGGGCCTTCTTTTGGTGGTTCCCTGCCAATGTATCACTGATTCGTTTCTTGGCCGCGGAAGACGATGAAGTCGCTGCCATTTGAGCGCGTGCGCAAGCGTTGTTGTGGTTGGTATACGGAGTTTTATGCATTTTTGTGTAGCTAGGCTGCCCTTACGGGATGCGATCTCATTCATTGATTATTGTTCACACCCCACCGGTGGATCTTATATAAGGCTTCCTTTTTTTTTCTCTAAACGAAAAATTTACCATTAATAACTACACTTGCTTGTATGATGAACTGTGATGGGATTCTGGGTGAAAATGCATCAACTAATTTGATTATGAAAATGACATGTATTAGGGATGTACACGTCCCTTCATTCACCATAGCTTGACGTTTGTTATCAGTTCACCTTTAAACTTCAAATGAACACCTGAGATATTGAGCTTAGCTTTGCACTTCAAATGAACAGCTCAAAAGGTAGTGATATCTTTATGCTTGGTTGCTTAAGAGCAAAAGACAAAAGGAAGCATCGATCAAAGTATTATTGAATGATAGCATAGCAGCTGCCTGAAATCAGTCGTTCAAATTAGGGACGACGCCATCACACCAATGAACATTTGGCTAATGTGTATAGTATTTAGGACGATGAGATCCACAAGGGGTACTAAGTCCCTTAGAAGAAGAGGGTACTAAGAGGTGTCCCTTACAAAGAATGCACAATGACGACGACGACGACCAACAATCATCAACCTCACAGCATTAGCAATGTCTACGCCTGTCCAATCATCATTTCCTGCTCGCAGTGTCTTTCAGAACCGAAGCAGCTCTGGGTTTCGGTCTCAGGACGTCGACCCAGACGAAGCCGGCCCACCGCACATCCTCTTCTGGAGATGCTCCAGGCTCGCCACCCGCTGCAGCGAGGCTGTCCGGCCAATCTTGCCGGCAGCCAGAGCGCCATTGACGAAGTCCTCGTCCTCCTGAGCCGAAGAAGGTATGTCGGGCATGTAGTTGTTGTTACCTCCGATGTCGTTGTTAGTAGCGAAGTAATTGTTCGGGTCATCTTGGATGGGAACAGCAGCGTCTGACGTTGCTTCAGATGGGGAGCTGTTGAATGGCATGCTGAGGGATGACATATCAGAAGCGGCGGGAAACAACGCGTTCATGCCTGTCACCCGCTTCACCGAGTCCTCTGCCATCTTCACCTGCGAATTTTTGATACATTTCAATGTTCAGATTGACCTGATTTAATAATCATGTTTGGACTGTCCAAATGGTGATTTATAGAGTATAATGGTAGCGTGGATTATTCTTCTAATAACAGGGTACACAAGTCAGTTGAAAGTTTGAAACAAGCCAAAGTAGCCAATCCATGGGATGCATATTGCAAAAGGCATATATAGCATACCTTTGCTCTCAAGGTCTCAACATCTGCTTTTAGCACTCTATTGTCAACAGCAGCATCATTGTACTTCTGGTTAACATCAGCAAGACGCCTTAACAGCGAGGAGTTCTCGACTCTTAATTGCGATACCTGTAACAAGTAAATCCATAACTGAAGTCAGTAGCCAGTAATTTAGGATTTTATGTCTTATCGAAAATAACTATGTGAACTATCAGACCTGTGCCTCCAGCTCATTCAAGTGAGCTGCCTTTCTGCTTCTTGAGCGCCTGGCTGACTCCCGATTGGATTGCTTCCTGGAACAGGTCAACAAAACTAGCATTATATCGAGAAGTGCTTGCTCAACATCTTCATACAAAATCACCCAAAAGAACAGCCTATATTATTGTCTAGCACAAGTAACATAATAAACAATACAAGGTATAATGCAATCCACCATATCATCACGTGACGTTTGAATATTTTGATTTTAGTGAGCAAATGTGGGGTGTACACACTGTCCATATCATAACTCACCATACCTTGTATGCTGCACATACATGTACCCTACCGTGACATTATTTTACAGCCAACTGAGACTAATACCAAACTTAAATTGAGAAAATAGCTGCCAAATGAATTCTGGTAATCATAGTCGATAGCTATCAAATCCGTGGTTTATTGGGGTAATTGCTTTATGAAAGGTAAAGCTCTCTAGGGAGTATAACTTTGATTTGCAAATCCAAGATGGGGGTGCATCAACCAGATACTAGATACAATCGGTTTCAGAAACTTGTGACATAAGGAATATGATGTGAACTCAGATTTAATTCATCCCAAATTGCTTATGTCAATAAACAAGTAGAGAGCAAAGTGCTACGTGTAATGGCCATACAAATTCCTCTCTTGCTCGAGACACTAAGCACTGAGTATGGCACACAGAGAACTAATATGGTAGGTAAAAGATCATATATGCGATGCAATAGGAAACTGAAAGGCTACCGGATGAAAGTGGAAATCCAACTGAAAGGGCTAAGGTGAAAATAGGACACATGCATGCATGACGAGGTAGGTTAATTATGTACAGAATCTATATTACAAGCAAGCAATGAATGATCACCTTCGTTGTAATCTTTGATCAGCAGGTCTTGCAGTTCCAGTGGTCTCAGCTTCTCCCTCCATGTCATCATCATCTGACTGCTCCCTTGATGAAGAGCTGGTGGGCTGCTTTACAAGGACATCAACATTCTGTACCAACTGTGAGCCCGATCCCCCACTTGGGCCACTTAGCATGTTTTGAACTGGAGTAGCATTGCCTGATATGTGCCCATGTTCCAAACAGAGCATAGTATAAGCCAGGCATGAAATATCAGAAGTCAAAAGTAGCATTCCTGTTTTGTCGACATTTCACTACAGGACAAATCATGATAACAACAGCTATTTAAGTACTACTCAATTCTAAAGCTAAGTGCCCATCTTTGCAAGATCCTAAGGATTCAAGGTGCATTAATCAAAATATGTTTTCTTGTGAGCACTCAGAACAGGAAGTTCTCCATTCATGGTCAAGGCAACAACAAATGCTCCTGCCAGCTGGCAGTCAGCAATGAAATGATTTAAGGGAACTCCAAACAAACATAACCCTATCCACTTAAGCATAACAATTCTAACGTTCAAAGAATCACTAACAAATGCGGAACTTATTTATTCATAGCTTCAGAACTATTTGATGACGTGACAGCAATACAACTCTACTTCTATTTCAAAGAAACTAAAATTTAATCCCATGCAATTGTGCAGGATATTTGGGTAGTTTCATAACAATCTGAAAATGTAACCAGATAAGATAAGTACCTCCGATGGAATTAGGAGCGCCTATGTGTGAAACATCTGCATTCAGCAAGGATGAACCAGCTCCAGGACGCTCAGGTGGAACTGTGCCAGAGGCCTGAAGATGAAAATGACATGAGCTAGCATGATAAAATGAACAGAACTACATAAATGATTATAGGATAAACCAATCAGTGCATGTTGCTCTAGTTGTCCATTTTAAGTCCAATGTAACAAAAAATTGAATTGCAAATAATAAATTATAGGCACAAAACGAGGCATAGCCACACATTGCAACAACATAAGCTGGGAAAAAACTGAAGGCAACCAACAAATAGGCTAATTTCAGCAAATGAAGGCCAGTGACCATCAAATTCTGGAGCACATAAATAGGCTATTTTTCGTTTCTTAGAAAATCGATGACGACATAGAAAAGACAAATTAAGCTGACATCACCCAACTAAGCACAAGCACCTAGAAATGGCTGTGACAGCTTATACGCATGCCAGGGCGGATTCAACGTGGGTGCAGGGGGGACTCAAGTCCCCCCTGCACCCATCGGACCCATGGATACCCCCCTGAGTCCCCCCTTCAATTTTTTCACCATGGTTGATAAGATAAGAGGTGCTAAAGGTCTCTTAATAGCATTTTAGCATAGTTTAATACTGAGATGATGTGTTTATGCCAGTGTACTCGGTATGTTGAATCCCCCCAACTTTTTGTTCCTGGATCCGCCCAATCAAATACTTGCATAAAGTCACATATTGCCAATCTAAAAAGGCAATGTACAGTTTAAGCAGCCCCATACAAAAATATTGCAATTGCAAACAAACCACTGTCTCGCAGTTTAGTAAGAATATGACTGATTACATTGCCAATTCGCCAGGTTGCATCGATATCGCAATCTCAATACCGAGGTCTATGAAGCTTCCGTTTGTACACAACCCTACATACTTTGAGTCGAACCAACCACCGACACTCAACAGAGCGCATTGCAAGACCATGGACGCCATTGGTCTATAGAAATGCCCGATCTAAATACCTATAAACATTCGATGCAAACAGTAGCTAGCATTGCCGATCTCAGTAAGCTCTCGAGTACTAGAGGGGGGGGGGGGAGAATGGCTGTACCCTCCACATGGCGACCGCGGCGAGGTCCTTCTCCAGCTTCTGCTTCAGCATCGCGTTGTACTCCACGGGGTCCACCACCGCGCTCGTCGTCGCCGCCGCCGCCGCCGCCGCCGAGAGCTGCGGCTGCTTAACATCGACCGGCACCACCCCTCCTGCGCCCCTGATCCCTCCCGCTTCGGCCCTCGGGCTAGGGTTCGGGACGGGGCTATCGAGCACCGCCTCCTCCAGAAACTTCTGGAAGTACCACTCCGACGGGCACCGGTTCATCGCGTTCCCGCCGCCGCCGCCCCCCGCTACACCACCACCACCTCCCGAAGCCACGCCGCCGCCGCCCTGCTGCTGGGCCGCCGCCGCCGACTGCGGCGGCGGAGGCGGGACCCAGAATGGGTCGGAGATCTCCTCCACGGAGAACACCCGCTCCATCGCGGAATCGGAATCCGCTCTCGCCGACGCGGATCGCGGGGCTACCCTCCGATGGATTCGCGAGGGGGGGATTCGAGGGTTTGATCGGAGAAAACCTCGCGCGAATTGCCGCTTGGAGAAGAGGAGAGGATTGGGAAGGCGGCTGCGTGCTGCTAATTTTTTGTGTTTGGGTGTAAATTAATGACTCGGATGCTCCTGGTTACGACAAATACTACGCGGTTTTTGTTCCGAGGTTGGGGTTGGGAAAATTTTGGATTACTACTAATCTTCTTTACCGGATAATAATTAACTAACGGCAAAATATGCGTTTGTAACTACTGGGTGAGGGTAGTTTGGTGTGCAGTGCGCTGATAGTAGGATATACTGCTGGTAGTAATTGTTATCCAGAATTTATCCATAAAAGGGATCAAGTGGAATTTAGATATATCGTGGATAAATGGTATACCGTATATTATGTCTTTATTTTTGTCGCGACGAATATCTAATATCAATTTTATGGATATAATTGTGCATTCGTATACTACACAATGCTAGAAAACTATAGGGACTTCATCCGTTTCATATTATAAAACTTTTTAGCATTGTCCACACACGCATATACATACATATATATATATATATATATATATATATATATGTGTGTGTGTGTGTATATACGTATATATACATATACGTGTATATACGTATATGTGTATATACGTGTATATGTATATACGTATATTAAACGGAGGGAGTAGCTCGGTTGGTGAATTAGACACCTCAAGTTCGATTTCTCCCTTGTACAAAATTATAAATTGTTTGGGAGATCTCCTTTTTCATATACTACACAATACCGTGAACATGAATTGCCCTAGTCTAACTTGGCAATCCTATAAAACCTGCGAAAACCCCTCGTTTTCACGGCTGGGGCTATTCAAGTACCCTAACTGCAACAACACAACAGATGCTATCGAAGAATTCCAATTCAAGTACCGTAGCGGTAGCGATAGTCATACGTAGCTTTACCTAAGTACCGAATTGCCCCGTTATTTACTAAAATCCGATAAAAAATATAGCCTCCCATAAAAATAAATAATTGCATTATCCATTCTCTCTCTTGTTATTAATGTATTAGATGGGTACCACAAACGAATTTGCCATTTGCTTTCCTGTTATTGTCGCCAAAGTGAAAAAGAAAAAAAAAAAGGAAGTAAAACGGCATCTAGTTTTTAGGTCAAGACTCAAGACCGAACACGCACGTTGCGATCGAACAGAAAAATGTCACGAGAATGTCGCGGCTGATCGATCGATTTGACGACGATCGCAACGTGATCTCCCCATGCTTATCCCTCTTTCCGCAGCAGCAGCAGCAGCATCGACGACTCGACGTGACAAAAGGAAAAAAAGCGAGAGGGACACACACAGATTCTGGTTGAATGCCTTTCCCATCTGCCTATTGTGGATTGGATTGGGTTCCCTTCTTTTTAGCCTCATCCAAAAAGGGCAAGCCGATGGTGGTATATGCAAATTTATTTATTTATTTTTACTTATTTATTTATTCCTTTCATCTGATAATGACTCGTGTCAACATTTTGTGAATCTGGCCTTACGTTTCATCATCAATCAGAGATGATAAGAATGTTTACTGCTTGAGAAATTGAAAGTGTACTGTTTGAAAAGAATCAGAGATGATACGAGTGTTTAGGTTGTGTTTAGTTCACGCTAAAATTGAAAGTTTAGTTGAAATTGGAACGATTTAACGGAAAAGTTGGAAGTTTATGTGTATAGGAAAGCTTTGGTGTGATAAAAAAGTTGAAAGTTTGAAGAAAAACTTCGAAACTAAACACGGCATTACTGCTTGAGGAATTGAGAGTGTACACTGTTTAAAAGGATGAGACTGATTTGTTTCGCCATGTAGGAAAGGTATACGAACTGTTTGCAAAAGTGGTTTGATTTGAGCTCCTTTGATGTTGAGATTGTTTTTTTTCTTTCTCTTTAATCATTGCAAAAGTGGTTTGATTTGAGCTCTTTTGATGTTGAGATTGTTTTTTTTTCTCTCTCTCTCTTAAATCTTAATTCTTTTTCTCGGGGGATTTCCAGGAAAGCGAGATTGCGCGGATGATGCGTGTTGGTGCAAGCAATTGACTTTTTCCATGGCTACAGAACATCACTTTTTCATGGCTAATTCCAGTTATTACAGATCATGCCATCAGGGAGTAACATGCAAATTAGTATAGCTGTTTGCTCGCTAATGCACAGCTGCTAAATTGACAAGACCAATTCAACTATACTTGCTTATGTTACACTGCTTGTTCCAATGTTACACTGTCCCTGGAATTCAGATATGCTTAATCTCTTTCATTCTGACTTGACAAGGTAGCCCGCCAACCAACCACTTGGTTCATTTTGATTCCAGATTTCCAGTCAAGAACATGTCATAGCTAGATGATGATGATAAGCATAGAAGAAGTGTATCCCTTTCCCCTCGAAAAAGCATAGAAGAAGTGTATGAATATATATGGGTTTAATTCGTTATGGAGAACTGGAAGAAAAGTGTCAGCATCTGGGACCATGGGGATCATTTTGAAAGACAAGTGACCCCTGCAAATTGCAGTCTTCCTGGAGAACTTGGGCAATTAGGGGAGGAAATCTGAAGGCAAAGTCGCTTTCAGCGCAGCCGTTGTGCTGCCTCATCCATGGACAAGAGATGATGGATTCAGACGGCATAATCTCCAGTCAGCCATGGAAATCATCCAGGCCTTATCCGTCCTTGATGTGTTGCCTCCTATCCCCACAGGAATAGGAATATGGGATAACTCATTCCAATCGCTGTCTTTTCAGCCTGCAAAAGGATTAACACGATGTTTCCCAGAATTGATGGCATGACACAACTCCTGATTGGATCTTACAAAAAGAGCCTAATATGTTCTGCATATTAATTTCTCCTGATATACTACTACTCCATAAATGTTCATTGGATTTTATTTATGAACTTACAAAATTGGAGATGCAATTCTGGGACAGCTATTTCAGACAGTTTCTGAGCTACCTTCTTTATTATTCATCTGTATGTTAACAGAAGGATAGTACTAGAGTGAGATACAGTCATGATTCATGAATCATACAAGAAAATACTGGATTAAAATGCTATGCAATTTAATCAGACAAAAAAAAACGATGTACTGCCTTCTTGTTGGCTTGCATGGGTGGAGGCATGGAACCGCTCATCTCAAGGCATAGCAGCCTTCATGTTCTTGGCATACTCTTCTACTCTTTTCAACCCTTCTTCAGGTGAAGCAGCCTCTCCTAACTGTCTAACAATAGCGCTGCCGATGATCACACCATCTGCTCCCCAGCCTGCAATCTGTATTGCAAATCACAAAGTTATTAACAAAGACAGGCCAAATACGTAGTAACAAGAACGTTGCATTGAGTCTAATTCACCTGCTTTACATGCTCTGGAGTCGATATGCCAAAGCCAACAGCAACAGGTTTGTCTGTAACCTGTAAAGTCAGGAATATAAGCTATATTAAGATAAGCGCTCTTCAATCACGAATTTCCGACATAGTACCCTTGCAATAGTTTACTGTTTTACTGGTGAGAGAAAAACTAAACTCTACAAACCTTCTTGATCTCCTGAAGAAGGTACTCAACACGCAAATTTACATTTGAGCGTGCACCTGTAACTCCAACAGAACTTACCTGCATAATGTACAGACTAGTTATCGCACACATAATTGATTGCCACCGATCAGATTCAAAGGCAAAGGTAGAATATGATGGTATTTAATAGATGAGAGATGACCAAAATATGGATCATGTGCTTGCGATGCCATAATGGTTCAGTATTTGCAATTTTTAGCTGTTTCAATTTCCCCTCTTTTTTCTGTTCATGTCAGTCTGGGATGACTGATCACATGTTGTTTCATAAGCATGCAAAAGTGCACTACAGATAATATTTCATAATTGTCCCTTTGTACCTGTTGAAAACAAATATTCAAAATATAAAGTAGGGGATAAAAGAAAGGATATCATCTATATTTAGTGACAAACTTAAAGCAAGTGCTTGGGGTCTACTAGATACCCACAAGATAAATAAATCCTTCTGAAGCTTTTGCAATCTCCTTCATCCTCTCTGTTGGTGTGGTTGGTGTTGTAAGCAGCACCTGCAGGCAATTGTGTAAAATACTAAAATAAGAATTGCTAGATGAATGAAACTCAAGATAACTCAATGCATAAGGTCAACTCTTGCCACAGATTTAATCGACAAAAGGCAATAGAACTACACAAGCAGTTTTTCACTTGAACATTACATGTCAGGGAAAAAGGTGAGGACCAACCAGCTCTATGCCATGCATGACAGCCTCATTCCTCAACAGCGCTGTCTCTTCCAAAGGAAGATCAGGTACTACAAGACCTGCTCATAACAAGAGTGGATAAAAAACAATCTAAATGCACTATACAGAACTACAGATATCTCATATCTCAATGTAAAATTTAGAAATATCACTTCACAAGTAGTTTGTCAAGCAGATTCTGAAAAGGTGGTATATTACTGAACTAACTGCCATCTTTTCACTAATAATAAAAGACTAACGCAGAGATAGAGTCATGCACTTCAAGAGTCAATAGAAAATAAGAAGAAATATAGCTTTTCTAACAATTGAGCATATCCTTATATCTTAGGCATATACAGCAGAGATATCAACAAAGTGAAATCCTTGATTGGCCACATCTTGTGTGATGGCATTTTAAAATAAACTATGGATATTCAGTTCAATTCAGACAGATTGACTGCAAAAGAAACTATGGTCTGCTTTGATCTGGTGATTAAATCAGAAAATTTACTCGATGCCAAATTGAACCTAGAAGTGACTACAGCTAACTTCAAATCGGTCATCTCTTTTCAAAGTAAAGTTTTCTTTCTTCTCGTGTCTTCAAATGCCTTTTCCGAACATTTTTTTTCCTGAAAATCTGCCACTGGTAAAAAAATTATTTGCCTATTTCCTTTTTCTGTTCTGTGTTTTGAACTCCTTGATTACTCAAAACTGCAAGACATTTTAAGATCATTCTATTAACTATGCAGGAAAATTACCATGTACGCCGGCTTGTTTAATGATAGCCATGAAGTTACTCACTCCGCGCTTTAAAATTGGGTTGTAGTATGTGAAGATAACTATTGGACAAGACAACTCAGGTATAACCCCCTTGAGCATAGCTATGACGGAATCAAATGTAGCGCCTTTCTTAAGAGCACGCGTTGCTGCAGCCTGAAATGAACCGCAGCCAAAAAAAAAAAACTTATGTTGCAGCCCATGAGAAACATTAAAGCTGATAAGTTCAAAGAAGCACATACCTGAATAACCGGCCCATCAGCCAACGGATCCGAGTAAGGTACACCCAGCTCAATCACATCTGAACCACAGGAATCAAGGATCTTCAACGCTTTCGATGTGGTTGCCAAGTCAGGGTCACTGGCGGTGATGAATGGAATGAATGCAGTCTGAAAAATTCCGAGGTCAGAACACTATGCTCAAACTAAATCCCTCCCTGAAAGAATATGTGCTAGTATATTTTTTCTTGTCCTCAATTCTGTCACATATAGCACACGCAGAGCAATAGCAATATAGCATTGAGCACTGGAGCCTGTATGTAAACTCACAGTCTGTCTAACGTGTTCAAAGCAACATCGAACAGCTGACTATCCTGATCTTAGTTACACTCTAGTGAAAATTGCTTCAGCAGCTTACCCATTCATATACTACATAGTTCTCCATAGGCAAATTGTCAAATTGTCAAGTGTTACACTCCACCATAGTGCTGTTTTCTCAAATTGTCAAGTGTTACAGTCCATAGTGCTGTTTTCTTGATGAGAAAACTTGAGAGGTTTTCCTGTATTGTTTTTCCCCTTCTTAATGAAATTGGCAGAGCTCCTGGCTTTCCACCTCAAATTTTTTTTTGAAGTGTTAACTCATATCCAAACTTTTTTTTTGCGGGGCAAATTTATTGTTAGTTAATTATGCAACATGGTATATTTCCTGATTGTTCAAACTATCACTAACAACATCATCAGGAAATAATTACACGAGAAATGATCGATCCGAAATCCCTAGCAGACAATTGCCTATTTACTTCAACCCCTACAGCCAAAAACAGTAAATGGAAATTACGGTATCTAAACTATCTATCGATGCCTCAAAATCGCGCGAATCGATGGCGGAGAAAGAGCACCTTGCCCTGCTCCCGGAGCCTGGAGAAGGTCTCCGCGACGCCGCGCTTCCCGGCGCCCACGACGCCGCGACCGCTATCTTCCATCTCCATGAGCGGCAACCTCCCTGGCTCCCTGTCCCTGGCCGACAGGCCCAGCCCCGCCCCGCCTCCGCCGCGGAAACGAAGCAGAGCAGCCCACGCGGAGGAGAGAGACGCCGCCGCGGCGGCGACGGCAACGGCGACGGCGACGAAATGGAGGCGGCGGAGCGGGTGGCCTCGCGATGAGCACGTGCGCGTGACAGCGTGTAGACCTCGGCTCGGCTCGGCTTCGCTGCGCTATATGGGCCGGAAAGGTGCAGAAGCCCATGTGAGGCCCGTTATATATGGGCCGGAACAAACTGGATTGGAGTAATAAGTCTACTTTTGCTCCCTCCTGTGTAGGTAAATCTTATTCAAATCCTTCAACCATAATATCAAATATTTTGACCCCCCACTATTAAAAACAGTGCAATTTGATTTCCTCGATGGTTCTTTGAGAGTGGCTTTTGCTGACATGGCTCGTTGACTTGGTCCAAATAACCCAGTTAGTGGGTTGGGTCCACATGTCAGTGTCTCCTCTTATTCCAAGATTGGCAGTAACTCGGCCCATTTATTTATGGGCTGGAAAGGGATCACGGCGAACGTGCAGGCCATTTTAATAGGAAAAAGTGCACCGGAGGTCCCTCAACTTGTCAGTGAGATAAAAAACGTCCTCAAACCGTAAAACCAGGTATGTGGGGGTCCCTTAACTATGCAAAACCGGTCACCCGAGATCCTTCGGCGGTTTTGATCCCGGTTTTGGTCTACGTGGCAGCTGAGTCAGCATGGGACCCACGTGGGCCCCACGTGTCAGCCTGTCCAGGTCAGCTACTCTTTTCTCTCCCTTCTCTCTCTCACTTCTCTCCTCTCGGGCAAGCCGGGGCGGGTAGGTGTTGGTAGAAACACACATGATCGATATCTCTCTCTCACTTGACAAAAACTTGAAGATGAACAGTAAGCTAAAGAGCAATGAACACAGAAAGTTTTGTGGTGCTTAAATCTTGCCGCACCGTTTTCACGTTTTCTTCTTCCTTTTATTGAAGGGAAAATGCACACTACGGCCTAACAAATTGACCGGATTACTCGCTCTACCATCCGGATTACGAGCGCTATCCCACTCGTCAGATCGTGCAGCGAGAGACTCGCATACTACCGCCTCGACGTGAACTCGCACGCCTCAGGTCTACAGACGCGCTCAACTCTGACTAGAGCGAGCCCAGAAAAACAGGGAATAAAAAACAAACACATAACGTGCATGAAAGGAAACTATCCTAACTGAATAAAACAGCTTTTGCAGGCACAAGTTTAACGTAATATGCAACAAATCTCCCCCTAAACCTTGTGCTCGCGACTTACTTCCAAAACCCCGATCCGCGAGCGTAGCTCCTCAAACCGCACTCGACCAAGGGACTTCGTCAGTATATCAGTGACTTGATATGCAGTCCCAGTGAATTCCAACTGAACTCGACCTTCTTCCACACACTCCCGGATATAATGATACCGAGTAGCTATGTGTTTTCTGCGGTCGTGAAACACCGGATTTTTGCTCAATGCAATCGCCGACTTGTTGTCAACCATCAGCTTGAAAACATCTGGTTGAGCTTGATTAATTTCTCCCAGCAACTGTGCCATCTAGACACCCTGACATGCTACCGTCGTCGCCGCAATATACTCTGCCTCGCAAGACGAAAGAGCGACAACCTTTTGCTTCTGGGATTGCCAACTCACCGGACTGGATCCAAGGAAGAACATGACACCGCTGGTTCTTTTTCGTGTATCCACATCACCGGCCATATCTGCATCAGAAAACCCAACTAGAGTAGCCGGCGTCTCCGATCTCCGGTAGATGATCCCGTAATCAATTGTGCCAGCAATGTATCTTAGTATCCGCTTCACCGCTGCCTCATGCTCGGCAGTGGGCGCCTCCATGAAGCGACTGACATAACCCACCGCGAACGCGATGTCCAGTCTTGTGTGAACCAAGTACCGCAAACTTCCGACGATGCTGCGATAGCCAGTAGAATCCACCAGTGGTGCATCACTATGTTTGCTGAGCTTGAGCCGCTGCTCCATTGGCGTCACACAGGCATTGCAGTCCTGCATCCCTGCCTTCTCCAAAATACGACGCGCGAAGGCCGACTGAGTCAGCCGTGTGCTGCCCGCCACCTGTTTGACCTCAATCCCCAGGTAGAAGCAGAGGAGACCAAGATCGCTCATCCTGAAAAGAGACATCATCTCCGCCTTGAATCGATCAATCTCCACAGCATCACTTCCTGTAATGATTAGATCATCCACATAAACACCAACAAGCAAGTGGTGTGTTCCCTGACCTTGAGCATACACGGCGTGCTCAAAGTCACAGCGCCTGAAACCAAGTGACGTTAGGCTTGTGTCCAGCTTGGCATTCCACACTCGGGGGGCTTGGCGAAGTCCATAGAGCGCCTTGTCCAGCTTCAGCACTTGATGTTCATGCCCCTCGACCACGAAGCCAGGCGGTTGCACAACATACACCTCCTCAGTGAGCTCCCCATTGAGAAAAGCGGACTTCACATCCATGTGATGGACAAACCACCCGGCCTGTGCAGCTAAAGCGAGCAGCATGCGGACTGATTCCAGCCTTGCCATCGGAGCGAACACCTCGTTGAAGTCCACCCCAGGCTGCTGCACATATCCTTTCGCCACCAAACGCGCCTTGAACTTGGTCACCTCACCTCGGGCATCCTTTTTCACCTTGAAGACCCACTTCAGTCCAATGGCATGGTGTCCACGAGGGAGGTCGACCAGTCGCCACGTCTTGTTTTCTTCAATGGTTGCGATCTCCTCCAACATGGTGCTACGCCAGCGCTGGTGTTGTTCGGCCTCGTTAAATGAAGCCGGTTCCTCAGCCTCCTGAAGATACAACTGTTCTGGAGCGAGTGCACGCTCGGCGAGGCCCGGCGCCGCCGCGTCGCCCAAGAGATCCCCTAGGGGGCGATACCTTGGCGGGCAGTCATCGTGATCAGCATCAAGGTGCTCGTCTCCCCTCGACGGAGGCGAAATGAACACTGGACTTGTCCCATGCAAAGACGCTCGTGGTCCCAAGCTTGGCGACGGCGTGCGCGGCTCCTCAGGCGTGGTCGATGCAGCGCGTCGCGAGCTTGGCGATGAGTTTTCCTCCTGTGCGCCGCGACCACCACCGCTCACCTGTGTCAGCACATACTCGATGGAAAACTCCGTCTGTTCAAGGCCGGACTCGGCCGCTTCAGCGCCCCAGTCCCAGCTCGCGCCTTCGTCGAAGATGACATCGCGTGACACCTGCACGCGCCCGGTCACAGGGTCGAACACCTTGTACCCCTTGGTGCCCGCTGCATACCCTATGAACACCATGGGCGTGCTGCGATCTTCAAGCTTGGAGAGGTGTGGGCGCATGTTCTTGACGTACGCCAGGCAGCCGAATGTGCGCAGATGTCCCACCGCTGGCTTCTTGCCGAACCAGGCTTCGTAGGGAGTTCGGTTCTCCAAGCTTTTCGTCGGGGCGCGATTTAGGAGAAATACGGCCATGGTGACCGCCTCCCCCCAAAACCGCGCCGGCATCCCCTTCGCCTTGAGAAGGCTGCAAGCGGTGGCGAGGATCGTCTGGTTCCTGCGCTCCACCACCCCGTTTTGCTGGGGCGAGTACGGGGCGGAGAAGTGCCTGCCAACACCATGATCTGCACAGTAATTTGCGAATTCAACAGATGTGAACTCACTACCATTGTCGATCCTGAATTTACGCAGCTTCCGGTCTGATTCTGCCTCAGCTGATGCCTGGAAATGCATGATCGCCTTCACCGCGTCCCCCTTCCTCGCGAGCAGGACCAGCCACATGTAGCGGCTGTGGTCATCCACCAGCAGGAGGAAGTAACTCTTGCCGCCGGGCGTCGCCGGCGAGATTGGACCGCAGAGATCCCCATGGACCAGATCAAGTCGATCAGTCGCACGGTAGACCGCGCGCGTTGGGAACGGCGAACGCCGGTGCTTGGAGATGATGCAGCCGTCGCACAGTTGCTCAACGTGCTCGATGCGGGGCAGCCCGCGCACCATGTCCTTGTCAGCGAGCTTGCGCAGAGCATCAAAATGAAGGTGGCCGAAACGAGCGTGCCACAACCAGGCCGTGTCTGAGGTGCACGCGGACAAACAGACCGGATGACCCGTCATCAGTTTAAGCAAATACAGACGATTGGCATTGCAGCGTACCTTGGCGAGCAGCTTCTTCGCTGGGTCGCGAATTGTGCACACACCATGGTAAATGCGCACATCACAACCATGCTCATCGAGTTGGCCCAGCGAGATCAGGTTGGCGTTCAACTTGGGGATGAAGTAGACTTCGGTGAGGGCACGGTGCTCTCCATTGTTGCACATAATCAGAATTTTACCTCACCCTTCGATGCCGACAACGGAGCCGTCGCCGAAACGGACGGAACCACGCACCGCCAGGTCGAGCTCCACGAACGCGGAGCGCACTCCCGTCATGTGATTCGTCGCATCGGTGTCGAGATGCCACACGCACGCATCCATGTTTTCCTCCTGATGGAGGTATGCAAACACCTTCAGCTCGTCGAGCATGATGGTCTGTAGCGGCGGCGCCGGCGCGAGAGGGCGTGGCATGGGTGAGGCCCCTGAAATTGCACAAACATGGGCCATCAGTAGCGCTGGCTCCACATCGTCCTCCTTGGCGTGAGCTTGGTGGGCCTCCGTGTTCTTCCTGGGCTGACGGCAGTCTTTCGCCCAGTGGCCTGCACAACCACAGTTGCGACAGCGATTGCGGCCCCCGTCTTGCGTATCGCAGGCATTTTGGTTTCCGCGATCACCGTCACGGCCACCGGTGTCAGAGCGCTTGCGACCCCCTCAGCGCCGGCGGTTGCCGTTGCCTTTCTTGCCGGAGGATGCCTCCCCAGCCTGCTTCTCTTTCAGCCTAGCCGCCCATTGGTCCTCCGTGAGCATGAGCTTGCCAGTTTCTGTGGTGAGCCGCTTCGCCGTGAGCTTATCCTCGGCGTTGCGCCGACGACCGGTGACCTCCTCCAGAGAGAGCTCCTCAACATCGAGCAGCGTCTCGATCGAGAGGGCGATTTGCTGCAGATGCTCAGGAACCGCATTAAGGAATTTCTGAACTACCTTGCTTTCCTCGATCGGAGCGCCCAGAGTGACCAGCGTGGTGACCAGGTTGTTGAGGCGTAGCGAGAAGTCCTCGACGGACTCCCCCTCCTTGAACTCGATGGCGTCGTACTGCCGTAGAAACAGTTGCGCCTTGGACTTGCGCACTCGATCAACGCCGACTCGCATAACCCTGATGGAGTCCCACGCCTCCTTTGCCGTCTCCTTCACAGCGAGCGTCAACAGCATCTCCTGCGGCACTGCACGGAGGATGGCCTCCAGCGCCATTCTGTCTTCCTGAAAGTCTGCGTCGCCGTGCTAGACGGCTTCCCACAGACCACGGGCTTGGAGCATAACTTTCATCATCAGGGACCAGTCACCATAGTTTGTCTTCGTGAGGGTAGGATAGTTTGCTGAGCCGCCCACCTCCTTGACGACGCGCCGGACCGGAACGATGTCCCTGTCTTCGCCGGCACGGCGGCGACCACGGCGCGGAGGCGGTGAGCGGGATTGACGACGCATGCGCGGCACTGGCGAACGCGAGACGCGCGGCGTCGGAGCCGACATGGCTCTGATACCACTTGTTGGTAGAAACACACAGGATCGATATATCTCTCTCACTTGATAAAAACTTGAAGATGAATAGTAAGCTAAAGAGCAATGAACACAGAAAGTTTTGTGGTGCTTAAATCTTGCCGCACCGTTTTCACGTTTTCTTCTTCCTTTTATTGAAGGGAAAATGCACACTACAGCCTAACAAATTGGCCGGATACTCGCTCCACCATCCGGATTACGAGCGCCTCCCACTCGTCAGATCGTGCAGCGAGAGACTCGTACACTACCGCCTCGACGTGAACTCGCACGTTATGTGTTTGTTTTTTATTCCCTGTTTTTCTGGGCTCGCTCTAGTCAGACTTGAGCGCGTCTGTAGGCCTGAGACGTGAACTCGCACGCCTCAGGCCTACAGACGCTCTCAACTCTGACTAGAGCGACCCTAGAAAAACAGGGAATAAAAAACAAACCCATAACGTGCATGAAAGGAAACTATCCTAACCGAATAAAACAGCTTTTGCAGGCACAAGTTTAACGTAATATGCAACAGTAGGGAGGAGGTCGCCGGGGCGCCCGGCGACGCGGCGGCGGGAGCACAAGGCGACACGGCCGGCGGGAGCCGGGCGGCACCGCATCCACGACCGACTGCCGCTGGTCCCCCGCCGGTCCGCCGCCTGTGCTGCGTCGCGGCCACGCTCGTCACCTTCACCGACAACGACGCCCCTAACGCGCGAGGCGGCCGGTGGGAGAGGAGGCAGCAGCACACGACGGCCCGTGGGAGAGGAGCGGTGCCGGATTTGCGCGGCCACGACGACGGTTCGCGCTGGCCCACACCTCAAAGCAGAAGCCACGCATGGTGAGCTGAGCAGTTGGGATGGTGGGGTGAACAGCGACGGCGAGCTCTTGCAAGTAGGAAGCAGAGGGAGAGGACGGCGGGGGCGTGGACGAGATCGGCGGCGGAGGTGCGCACAAACGGCAACTCATTGGCGGTCTCCTCCGTGGGAGGCCGTGGCCGGCGGCGAGAGGAGGACCAACTTTATGCGCCCGAGATGGCAAACACCAAGAACATCATAGGAGCACCTCGCCAGCACATGGCTGTGAGCAAAGAGGGGTTTGCTAGAGTAATTCCATCGAGAATAGTTACTTTGATTCCTGAAATGAGATTCTGAGTATATATATGAATCTGTTTGCTCTTGTAGTACTTCAACTACATGGGGATGCTGGCGGCGGAGGGCACCTACGACAAGATAGAGGCGCTGCTGAATCAGGACATCCATCCAGCGGCAGGCGGTCGAGGATGCGGTGCCGCCTCGTGCTCCCGCCGCCGCTTCGCCTCGTGCGCCCGCCGCCGCGTCGCCGGCTGTGTCGCCTCGTGCTCCCGCTGCCGCGTCGCCGGCCGCCCCGGCGACCTCCTCCCCACCCGCCCCGGCTTGCCCGAGAGGAGAGAAGTGAGAGAGAGAAGGGAGAGAAGAGAGGAAAGAGAGTGGCTGACCAGGTTGACACGTGGGGCCCACGTGGGTCCCACGCTGACTCAGCTACCACATAGACCAAAACCGGGATCAAAACCGCCGAAGGACCTCGGGTGACCGGTTTTGTATAGTTAAGGGACCCCGCATATCTGGTTTTGCGGTTTGAGGATGCTTTTTTAATCTCGCTGACAAGTTGAGGGACCTCCAGTGCACTTTTTCCGTTTTAATATGGGTCAGAATGGTATCCCAACGAACATGTGGCCTGTTCTATACGGGCTGGTCCAATTTTGAGGCCGGGAAAGCCGTGCGGCCCGGCCCGTTCGATCTATCTCTTTCCCTCATGTTTCCTTCCTTGAGTTTGTTCTAGTCTACTGGTGTCACCAACTCACCATTGATTGGTTTATCTTTGAAAAAAGAAATTGTGCATGCTTAGATATATTCAAGGCTGACTATTCTCCTGTACCATGTCAATTATGAAAAAAAATATTGATATAAAAAAATTATTGAAAGTGTCCTTCTGAATTTTCTCTTCCATGCATTCAGCAGGCCATGGAGACCCTATAAGACAGTGCTCCATGGATGTCCACATATTGGGATTATTCATTTATTTGAAATTTTGGATATGCCGTCAAACATATTTTGATGTGCCTTTTCAGAAATGTTTCAAACGAGCATAAGAAAGACTTGTCGAGTTGTCGCATGAATACAGCGTGTTAGCACCAAAGTCACTGTCCATCAGAAAAAGCAACTGCGAGACCTCATGAATTGACCATCTATGAGCAGGGAAACACACTTGCATTATCGGAACAAGCAGAAGACGCAAATATTTGGAATCACATTTGGATTCCTCGGCGAGGTCTACTGCAAGTAAGCAAGTTTTATTTAAAAATAATACTCCCTCCGTTTCGAAATGTTTACTTTTTATCACATATTTGACCATTCGTCTTATTTAAAAAATTTAAGTAATTATTAATTCTTTTCCTATCATTTGATTCATTGTTAAATATATTTTTATGTAGGCATATAATTTTATATATCTCATATAAGTTTTTGAATAAGACGAACGGTCAAACATGTACTAAAAAGTCAACGGTGTCAAACATTTCGAAATGGAGGAAATAATAAAATTGATTCTGACCTATACTTTGAAGAAATTATAGCAGTTTTACAGGATGAATAAGAAAACTACTAAAAATACCACCTTGAAGACAAAGATCTTCATCTATGGTTGGTCAGAGGATGCACGACCGTTGTTTCTATCAACGGCTTACAAGTTATACACAGTTCTTGTCCTCCAAACAAAAAAGCAGAATCTCCAAAACCAGCCGTCGATCGAATTTCTCTCCCATCGTCGCTGACAAACTGGTGTCGAACCAAAGTGAAACGTCGGAGATTAGTTGAGTTGTGTAAATCAGTCTAACTTGCAAGTAATCAAGTTAATTGATAGTAATTGGCTAATTTTTATGTGTCAAAATCTTCAACATGGTATGGCCAAGTACTAGCTTATAACATGCTGCAATTTGGATGGCAGGTAAGAAGGAAGGCGTTACATGATGGTGAGTATCAGAGCTCTCTGAAGAGTGAAGACTATTGGTTTCATTAATAAACTTAATTATATCGGAGTTAGAAGCTACAGAAATCATAGAGGCGAAAGTCAGGTTGCAAAGCGAAAAGATTAAGACCACTGTCCCAAAATGGTTACCACCAGAAGAAGGTAATAAGTGAAAATTAATGTTGATGTTGCTATTTCACGTTCTACAAAAGGAGCAGTTGGAGTTGTTTGTAGAGATGAAAATGGTCTTCCTACTTGAGTACTTTGGATTAATAATAGTAATCCCTACTTCCTTTCTCTAAAAAAAAATATATATTTCCCTCATGTTGCCTTCGTTGAGTTCGTTAGTCTAGTGGCCCTTCATGTCACCATTGGTTTATCTTGAGAAAAAAAAAGTTCATGTATATATATTCTGAGTCCTCTCTTCCATCCAACAGGAAAACAAAAAGGAGAGGCTCAAACTATAGGACAATGCCCCATGGATGTATACACATTGGGATTATTTGCAACGTGCCATTGTGAAACATATTCACTCGATGAAAGAAAGACTCATCGAGTTGTTGAATGTGTGTGCAACGTTGGCACTAGAGTCACTGTCCGTTAGAAAAAGCAAGGAACTCAGAAACCTCATACTATTTACTCCATCCGCCCCAAAAAAAAAATCCATTCCTAGCATCTTAAAGTGAAATAAGTGGAGAGTGAGAATGACTAAAATACCCTTAATCATTAAAAAAACCGTAAGAGTGATAGGTAGGTAAAGATATTGAAGAGATAAAACTTCTTGTTTTAGTGCTAAGGGTATATGTAGGATAGTAGAAGTTGGTTTTTTGTTGGATAAAATTTAAACTCTGGAAGTTAAGTTTTTTTTAGGACGGAGAAAATAAGTATCATTTTATTTTATTTTATGAAACCGATCCAGTCAGATACCTCGTGATTTGACTATCTATCAGCACACTCTTCAATTATCTGAGCAAGCAGAGGGCTGTATAAATTTTGCAACCCCCATGGAAAATAATATTGCAGATATTTTTAATACAAATGTATTTACAATAATTACTACCTTCATTTCAGAACAAGTTAATCTAGTACTGGATTTGACATATCTCGATACTATAAATTTAGTATTAGCTATAAATTTAGTATTAGGATATGTCACATTTCTATTAGATTAATTTATTCTAGGACGAAAGACTATGGTACATTTAATAAAGGCCAGCTTCTGCCGTAATGGAGCGGAGGCCCGTCGCCGGGAGGCTTGGGCCGGAGCGTAGCGGATCGTCATCCCTTTTAGAGTTCCATCATATATATACCTCTTGTAAGCCGCCGTGCGGCGATGTAACCTCACCCCAGATATAGTGAAGATATTTTGCTGGCTGGCATCCGTGGTTTTTTCTCTTTTGTTTTGGGAGGGTTTTCCACGTTAAAATCTCGTGTCTTCTGTGATTGATCTATTATTTTTTATCGTTTATTTGTCCATCGTTTCCTAACAACATTGATTTACTGCAACATGGTACAATGATTTTGTAGCTCTATCAGATTTTGATATTTTTATGGCAGTGCATCCTTCATTCTCCTAGCATACTCCTCCAGCCTTTTGAGCCCTTGTTTGGGAGAAGCTGCTTCACCTAGCTGCCTCACCATTGCACTCCCAATGATCACTCCATCTGCACCCCACCCTGCTATCTGCATCCATTTACATTTGATCATAAATGAGTCAGATTTTGCAGCAAAAATGTTGGAAAAAGAAAAAACTAAATTGCAACCAAATCAAACATTCTGAAGGAATTTGAGATATTAATAAGCTATTTACCTGCCTAACATGGTCAGGGGTTGATATGCCAAAGCCAACACACACAGCTTTGTCAGTGACCAGCTTGATGTCCTGAAGGAGATGCTCAACGCGTGTGTTTACTTTTGGACGGGGACCCGTAACTCCATTGACACTAACCTGCATATATATTACAATTTACAACATGTCATTTGATCTGGATCAGAAAGCTAAACTTTCTAATGAGCAGTCAGGTTTCTGCATATATACTACTTAATTAGCACTTACAAGGTAAACAAATCCTCCTGAAGCTTCTGTGATGATCTTCATCCTCTCTCCCGGTGTAGCTGGTGTTGTTAGCAGCACCTGCAGAGATTAACCCGCACAAAATCATCAGAATTCTGAACATGTTGATCACTGGAGTAGTATACTCTAGCTAGGTTGCTTAATTAATCGATGAAAGGAACTAATTATGTTCATACCAGCTCTAGGTTGCTCTTAATGGCTTCACTCCTGAAAGTACATGTGTCCACATAAGGAAGATCAGGAACTATAAGGCCTGAAACACACGTGACAACTGTGAATTAGCATTTCCACTGTCAAAGAGATAAGTTTTGCTGTGTTCGGTTTATCATTTATTATTAGTTACTCTCCGACTATATCAATTATATTGGCACAGACTGGTGTTGGTTCGTAAACAAATATTATTTATTACATAAGCACAATAATTCTTGTAATAAGGGAACAATATTCCAATGAGCACTTCATTAGACATCTTAATTAGGATTGTAACATCACAACCACCCTTACTTCATTAGTATATATAGTTTAAGAGACCTGTTGGCTCCATCTAAATTGTACTGATGAAGATTTGATGAGTTTATTATTACTAAAAGACAATCTAGGACAGGGATTGGAGCCCAGGAGTGTCGCATATATTCAGCGAAACTTCCAAACCAAGTCTTGTCATGAACGTTTCCCTGAATTTGGGTGTGTACGCCAATCTACAGTATCTATGATGTTTACACTTCACTGTTAATTTTTTTTAGATAATGGACTTCACTGTTAATTAATCTGCCCATCATGTTATTCAACACTGACACTGACAGGCTAATATTGTTGTTTTTTTTTCTAAATCAGGTAGTAAAAGGCAAAGCCGGGTATGTTCAGTTTTATTGGGTAATTTCTTTCGGTGTATGTTCCTCTTTTACTACATGGTACTGAGTATTATCTTCTTCTTGAAATACTCCTAAATTACAGTCCTCCTGCTCTTGACAAATGAAGTATAGGTATAAGATTTAAGAAAAAAGTGGAGATCATAGTAGTACAAATTAAGATGCAAATCATGCATGCACGTAAATGAGTAAAAGTTAATTAAGGGATCAGTAAAAGTGAAAGATTAGGAGAGTAATAATAAGTTGGTTAAATGTAAATTTACCTTGCACACCAGCTTCTTTGGCTGCGGCGGTGAAGTTGGCGGCACCTCGCCGGAGGATGGGGCCGAGGTAGGAGAGGAGCACCACCGGGCAGGACAGCTCCGGCGTCACCTCCTTGAGCATCGACAAGACGGCCTCCGGCGTGGCGCCGGCGGCGAGCGCCCGCGACGCGGAGGCCTGGATGACGGGGCCGTCGGCATAGGGGTCGGAGAAGGGCACGCCGAGCTCGATGACGTCGGCGCCGCAGGCGTCGAGCAGCCGCAGCGCCTCCGCTGTCGTCCCCATGTCCGGGTCGCCGGCGGTGATGTACGGGATGAACGCCGTCTGCTCAATGACGAAATCCAACACAATTCAGCACCGACATGAACTCGTTCTACGTCAATGCACGCTATATGTTTGTTACCTTGCCCTTCTCCTTGAGCTTGGACATGGTCTGCGACACCGACATGCGCCGCTCAACGGCGGCGGCGGCGGCGGCGGGCACGGGCGAAGCCTCCAGAGCGACCGAGGCTGCCGCGGCGGCGAGCCTCCGGGCGGCGGCAACCCTCGCCGGCTGCGCGACGCACCGGCGCAACACCGGAGCCGAGGAGGAGGAAGCCGACATCGGCGACGCCTTCATCGTCGTGAAAGCCATTGCTACGTACGCTCGTGCGACGCTGTGTACGTGCAGCTCGAGTTGTAGCCTAGGTGTTCGACGCGAAGACCGCGAGGCTGATGAGATGATCGAGTTAATTAGCCGTGGTGTACTGGTGTGGTTGGGTTGGGGTAGTGAGGACTGAGGAGGCCATGGCGGGCGTTTATATAGATCGCGGCGCGCGTTAATTACGAGCTGAGACGACGAACGATGCTGGTTAATTAGCTCTCATGAGATAATCCACTACCGTGGAGTGGAGCGTGTCACGTGTGCGCGCGTGGTTAGGAGATCGACGCGCACGCAGCGCGCGTCGCGTCGTTTTCGCGTGCGTGCGTGCGTCGAGGCCCTGGCGCACGTGGCTGACGTACGCCACTTTCGATCGATCGGTGTGTTTGTTTGTTTCAACTTCCAAGCTAGTTCGATCTATGTATTCTCTATATCTTAATTTGATCAGCTACACGCATGAACTCACCAACTGATAACTCACCATGGTTCCATAGACACCATACTGTGTGGTGTGGAGCGAAGAATATATATCTCCTACGAACTTCGAAGCACTGCTAGCTGCTCACTGGTGGTCATCCGCACCGTTTACCTTTGTTCACCAATTGCTAAACATGTAGGAGTACATCCTCTGAAATATTGTGTGTGTGTGTATATTAGATGTTTTTCGTGAATACGCAAAAAAATTACAGGTCAATATATTAGAAGACAATAGTGTTTATTTACACAACGCAATCAGCCAGACCGGCTTATGCCAAAGGAGGAGAGAAAAGACAAAAACGGAAAAAAAAAAGGAAAAATGAAGAGACTACTACGACGGCTAAACACAACTCCAATTAGCGGGAAGGAGAGCAGAGCTACACTACCTTCCCAAGGAAATCCCAAAAGAAGCAACGCCAGCTAACGACCATAGATGATCCTCAGTGAGGATGTACTCTAAAACTATTGAGACCGAAGTGAGAGCAGAGTCGAAAACGCTGAAGTTCCGTTCCTTCCGCTCGCAAGTATATTAGGTGTTACCAATATATGGATTCTACAGTACAGATCGAATCACATTCTAATTAACCTTTGTTGTAGCTAATTACTCGCATAAAAGAACATGGACATCATGCATTGGCATGCATGTACCCTGCAGACAGAATCGAGTACATGCCACCACGTGCGTATCGTGCATGTTCAATGTTTTTTTTTCTTTTTTTCTTAAAAAGAACATTTGTGTGCACTTTGTACTATATTTCGTGTTATTGCTATGGGATACTTTCTTCCGATTCTAAATGTATAAATGTAAAGTCGTTTTACGGTTTTCTACTCTCTCTCTCTCTCTCTACAAGTTAGTCAATATACGAGATTTCTTTACAAATTGCTACCACTCTCATGTATAATATGCTTATAATGTGTAATAATTCCATGAACTAAGTTATTACTTCAGATTTCCCCAAATTTTTTTTAAAAAAAACTGTCACCACAAAAAATGGGGCTGATTTTACTCGGATTTTAGGCGCACGATTTAAAAATATATCTACATTTAGAACAAGAGGTGGCGCATGATATTGTTGTCAAAATCTTGGGATTCCCGTTTAAATATGAACCAGAGAGCATTGAGGTGACATTAGTTGGACGAGATGCGTACTTTCGTTTTCTCTCTCCTTTATTTTTGGAATTTTGGCCTTTTTGGTAATCACTGCAAACGACGCAGGGAAGAAGACGAAGTCGGTAACGACTATTGACTCGTTAAGCACCAATATAATTAACCAGAGCTTTCTCCCGATCGATCGACCGAGAGGGTTCAATTCGATAATTATATTAGTACAAATCTAGCTACTAGAACATATGAGTACTGGCTAATATAAACGTGTTTCTTGCTCAATATATAAATAAGATATATCTTAGCCGTTGACAACGGTGGAAAGGTCGGCAAGTGACTAATTATTTCTCAAATTGACAAAATATATAAGCCAGCTCAGGAACCAACTAAAAATAGTATATGTAGCAAAGACTACAAAATTGTCTTTCTGCAGAGTGTAAAACTAAAACATTTTCATACTTGCAAGAGCCCGTATTGAGTATATAATTTTCCGTTTCATATTATAAAACGTTACTTCCTCTATCCCATAATATAAGACGTGGTTAAAGTTGGCACGGTCTCCAAATCTATTCTTTATATTTTAATTTCTCATATATTATAATATTTGTAACAACGAAATTAGAACCATATGAAAGTAAATTTAAATGTCAATCCAATGAAATATTTTTTAACAAATAAAATTTATTTTATATTAAACTAAGTGTTGGTCAAATGTTTTAAATGTTTAATCTTAAAATATGTGCACGCCTTATATTATGGGATGGAGGGAGTATGATCTTTTCTCTAGTCAAACTTTCTTAAGTTTGACCAAATTTATAGTTTTTTTAATAATATTTATAACATAAAATTAGTTTCATTAAATATAACATTTAATATATTTTGGTACATGTTTGTTTTGTAGTGAAAATATGTTACCATACTTGTCTTAAAATCGATTAAAAAATTAACTAGTAAAAAGATCAAAACATTCTTACAATATGAAACATAAGGTATTATGACAAAAAAATTACTTTTAAACCTAAGAAATTTTTTTAACCTGCGCACAGATGTACTCCCTCCGTTACATTAAAAACCAATCTCTTATCCAGATTTGATGTGTCAGATCTGATACTATCTTAGTTTTTAACCCTTTTCTTTAATGGGATGTAGGGAGTACTCCTCCTTTCTCAAAGGTGAAATCATCCGAGAGGGTCGTGGGCCGCAATTCCTCTAGAGTATAGCCAGCCCAGAAGATCGATGACGTCGACAGGCTCACGACCAATACCAAGTTACCAACCGGGCGTGAGAGCAGCTAATATTTTCATGTCATCGCTGTGATCAGCATACGTACATAAATCCCACCAAAAGAAAGAGAGAAAAAAAAGCATACGTACATAAATTGACGCAGCGGCCGCCGATCCAACAGCGAAATTAACACGGAGAGAATAAAGAAAACCAAGTTTAAATATTCTCCTGTCAAAATCCAACAGATTTAGTATTATTTCCTTAATTAGACGACGCAAAGTGTCATTCTGTTCAAGGTGACAATAGATAAGGTCAGTACATTTCTGGTAGATCTTCTTTTCATTGGTTTGCTTAATTAATTATTCGACGCCTTTGCGTGTGTTGGATTTGTTTTCTCTTCCATTCCTTGGACGTTGCGATTTGTGATGCTGATCTTTTATCTTAAACAAACACAGCGTGATGGTAATTAATTGTACTATAAGGAATGTTCATTATCAACGAGATTGCGGTTAATCACGCGACCGCGACGCTTTTAACCGTTACTGCACTGTAGACCTTCCGGCTATCTTGGTTTAAGTTGTGGGTAGTCGGCGCATTTTATTTTCGGCGATAAATAAAACTTAAATCATTTTTTTACTAGTCATATGACTAGTCCTGTGCTTGTAACGAAACGGGATCCGTTGAACATGTTTCAAACTTTTTATTCCCTCTTCCATATATTTTTCTCTCGGTTTTCTCGAACGGTTTTTCTCTTGATTCTTTGAGAACTTTTTTAGGATTACACGGCAAACATATACGAGCACACACAACTAGATACCCAACACCATCCATACTCACACATCCACAAACGCGTCCCCTAACACATGATTTAAAAAATGGAAACCAGGACTTAAATTCCTCTTGAAAGCCTAACTATATGGGTGTAATATTTATAGAAATCAGGACTTAAATCCTGATTGATTTTATCTCTAGCCTTTTAGCTTTTTTTTACACGGAATTGGAGTGGGAAGAGGAGGAGGATAACTGTGCTTTTAAGATAAATAGAAATTTATGAGAGTGGGTTCTCTCTTTCTTTTAGCGCTTTTTTTATGCGGAATTGGACTGAGAAGAGGACTACTATGCTTTTAAGATAGTAGATATATATAGGATATTACTTAGAGCATTTACAATGTCATGTTATGACGAGTGACCTCGTGTCTCCACGTCGAGAAGAGCCAGCTCAACTCGGGGTATATGTGCTTTACATGTGTTGTCTTGTGTATATGGTTTTTGTTGTTAAGGAGTTTGTTTCGCGCCTTTGTTGATTGTTAGCACAAATATGCACACAATTTGCAGCAATTATTTTCTTCGAACAACCGAAGAATTAACATCCGACCTCTACACAGACGAGGTGTTTTACAGTCCCCAAGGATCTGGATGCCTATACATCACTTATTATCTATAACACTTTCTAGTGCTAATTTGCGGTACAGTTAACTATGAGACTATGAGAAAGGCAGCTTCAGCTTCCCTTTTATGCATGTAGCTAGTCATCACCAAGAGATTAATTAATTAATCTCTCATGCCATTATTTAGCAACTTGTTTTTATAGCTTCTATGGAAGTGCATTCTTCAGGCTCCTAGCATACTTCTCCAGCCTTTTCAGCCCTTGCTTGGGAGAAGCTGCTTCACCCAGCTGCCTCACCATTGCACTGCCAATGATCACCCCATCTGCACCCCACTCTGCTATCTGTGTCCATTTTTCAATTGACAATAATGTTTTAGAATTTGCAATATTTGATTAGGAAATCTACCAAATACATTTGTGATAAAATGGTAATTCAATCACCTGTCTAACATGATCAGGGGTTGATATGCCATAGCCAACACACACAGCTTTGTCAGTGACCTGCTTAATCTCCTGAAGGAGATGCTCAACACGCGGGTTCACGTCTTGGCGAGATCCTGTAACTCCATTGACACTAACCTGCATGACACGTTTTACAGCAAGCAATTGTGTCAGAAGCTAAACTTCTATTAAGTAATTAATCAGGATTTCTGAAGATTTACTAGTGTGCTTTACCAGGTAAACAAATCCTCCTGAGGCGGCTGTGATTGCCTTCATCCTGTCTGGTGGTGTAGTTGGTGTAGTAAGCAGCACCTGCAGCCATTTTAATCCACAAAACATAATCCAGAATTTGTTGTTAATTGACCATACAAATTTACTAATGGTTATATGTTGATGAAATCAACATAGATACTATACGTACCAGCTCTAGGTTGTTCTTGATAACTTCACTCCTGAAAGAGCATGCCTCTAGGTAAGGAAGATCAGGTACTATTAGACCTGGAACACGTGTGCAAATTATTAGTAACAAAAAAAAAAGAATGCGTTTAGAATTCCGATTAGCACGCATTAATTTTGCCTGAATACTAAGGCTGTGTTCTTTCAAAGGAGACTGGGGAGAGATTGGTGAGATTGTCACTCGTTTTTCACATGCACGCTTTCCAAACTATTAAACGGTGTATTTTTTGTAAAAAATTTCTATGTGAAAGTTGCTTTAAAAAATCATATTAGTCCATTTTTGAAATTTAAAATAGTTAATACTCAATTAATCATGCGCTAATGGCTCACCTCGTTTTGCGTATATTCCCAATTTTCTTAATCCCCTCTCCCTCAAACACAGCCTAAAACTCTAAAAGCATAAACGTGCATAAGAGCAGGTACAATAGCAGGCTATAAGGCAGCTGCAAACATATTTTAAGGAGATAAATAAGAAGAGAGAAGGGCAGCGGGCTACAAATTTGTAGCTAGCTGCAGCACGGACTCCAAAACGCAGTGTGTGTATGATAGGTGGGACTAGGTATTAATAGTGTAGTATGTAACTACTGTATGAATGAGCTATTAGATTGACCATATATGAATTAGAACTAGTAGTTGGCTATACTATTAAACTTGCTCTAATTACGTAATGGTACTTGTAACTTGTCCACATAAATGATTTCGAATGATCACTCATCGGAGAGCACATCACAACCTCAGACACAGATTTTTTTTGGCTTAGCTTGGCCTGAAGAATCTATGGCTAGCTTTATGTATATAGGACAGTGATTGGTGTTTTGCATCGATCCAGAAACGGCCAAACATGTGCTGTACCTCAGCTATGCACGTGAAAAACAAATGAAAACGACTCAAGACCATCTGATTTGATTGAAGATTAATCCTATTCAAGATAAGGTGAACGACAACATTGGTTCAGAAAACACAAAATGACTGTGCAGGCAAATCAGAAATGTACCGTATACACTATATATACAGTTCAGATCCCTGTACAGTTACTGTACTTAACTGTTTATTAGTATTAGATATTTTACATCACTGATATATACTTCCTCCGTAAAAAAAAACTAATCTAGACACATCTTAGTACTAAGATGTTCCATTATGGGTCACATTCTAGTATTAAGTTTTTTTAAAAAAAAGACGAGGGTGTATGAAAGATTAATGTCCAAGTGCAAAACAGAGAGTAATTAATTAATTAATTACCTTGTACGCCGGCTTCTTTGGCTGCGGCGGTGAAGTTGGCCGGACCTCGCCGGACGATGGGGCCGAGATAGGAGAAGAGCACCACCGGGCATGACAGCTCCGGCGTCACCTCCGCGAGCATCGACATGATCCCGTCCATCGTGGCGCCGGCGGAGAGCGCCCGCGCGGCGGAGGCCTGGATGACGGGGCCGTCGTTGTAGGGGTCGGAGAAGGGCACGCCGAGCTCGATGACGTCGGCGCCGCACGCGTCGAGCAGCCGCAGCGCCTCCGCCGTCGTCCCCATGTCCGGGTCGCCGGCGGTGATGTACGGGATGAACGCCGTCTTCCCCTTCTCCATCAGCCTCGACATGGTCCGCGACACCGACGACAGCCCGCGCTCCGTCGCCGGCGCCGCGGGCGCCCGATCGAGCCTAAGCGACGTCGCCGCCGCGGTGAGCTTCCTGACCGCGACCCTCCCCGGCGCCGCTCCGAGCTTAGCTGGCGCCGAGGAAGAAGAAGAAGAAGCAGCCGGCGACGACGGCGACGACGCCTTGACCGTGAAAGCCATGAGAGTGTAGTGGCGGCGACGCGCGTGCGTGTGAGAGTGGCTTGGAACGGTGTGACCGCGGCGTGGCGTGGCGTGGCGCGCGCGATGTACGTGCGTGCGTGCGTGTGCGCGCGTGTGCTTGGATGGATGGGATGTCTCGGCTCTCGGTGCCGCGGAGTTTATATAGATCGCGGCGGGCGATGGCGATAATTAGCTCGGGTTTGGAAATTGCAAGTGTCTCTCCGCTCGGTGTAGCCCGCGCGCGCCGTGAGAAACGTGTTAACCAGAGTGCTCTATGGTGTGGGTGTACATTTTTCAGTGGCCACACTGATGCTCAACAGAGACCAGCCACTCCAGTGTACTATTCCCCTCTCCCACGTGTCACACAAACCAGGAACATCCCAATTTTGGGCTAGCCTAATGAAAGTAAAAGATCAATTTTTTCAGTATGGATCTTTTAAACCTGGTAATGGAATAGAAATAAGATTTTGGGAAGACACATGGTTGGGCTTGCAACCACTCAAATATCAATATCCTTCTCTGTACAATGTGATTCGAAAGAGACATTCTACTTTGGCAGAGGTTATGAGCACAACACCATTAAATGTTTCATTCCGACGATCAATTGTAGGACCAAAGTTAGTTGAGTGGAATGATTTGATTTCTCGACTAGCTAACATAACCCTGTCAAATGAAAAGGATTGCTTTATTTGGTCGCTACATAAAAATGGCCATTTTTGGGTCAAATCCATGTATAATGTGATCATCAATTCCAATGTAAGAATCTGTTGACGAAAAAATCGAACATACCGGCCTGGAAGATCTGCTTAGCTCCAGTGCAGGTCCAAAGGTTGATGAGATACGGGCGTGCCAGTCAGTTTGATCCTGCAACTGATAAGATATGCAAATAGTAGATCAAAACAGCCAATCGGCTGTTAAGCCGATGGAGTAGTTCCAGCTGATAGCCGATAATAGCCGATGCCGATACCAGCCGATAGCGATAGGGTTTAAGCAATCAGCTATATGTCCAATGTAAATAATGATATGAAGGCAATCGGCTGATGATGATGTAATAAAATAACAATATAATCCAGTAGAAACCAATCAGCTAGAAACAAAATATAATAAGCACTGATCCGAATGTTAAAGCATACATCAGCTGGAGGTCCGATGTCATGAAATCCACAAGATTAGATTAAACAGTGAAACCTTTGTCGTCATCGGCTAAATCCAACTTATATGTATATGCAATCCTTATGAGCCGATGCAACGTCCAGATAACTCACCGGCTGAAACCCCGATGAAAACCTTATTGGCAGTCAAAAAGCAAGCTAGAGATTATGGTTCTAAGCACGACTTAGTAGATCAAACTTAACTGATGCAGCACTAAGTATGAAAAGAAACATAATATCTAGACAATCAAGCCGTTGACTGAGTTTTCAGGGTGGTAGATATCTAAGCTAATCTAATCTAGCAACGCGATTTAGCCGATACCGGCAGAAATCCTAAAACGAGAAGCAGCCGATAGAGCTAAATTGATATGCTAAAACTAGATTAATATAGACATATGATAAATAGGTAGGCAAATATATCATCCAAACCAGAGCAATCTAAGAGGTCGAATGTACTGATGCAGCCTTGAACGATGCCGATGTAGATGAGACAATTGCCTGGGCCGACGGAACATTGGACTTATCCCTTCGCCGGATATCGAAGACGATGCAGCCCCGCGTCGGGTGCCAAGTTCCGCCGGAACGTAAAAAAACAAAAGTAGAAGTAAAAAGGGTGGCGATGCGCCGAATTGTATTGATCGTAGAGATTGATTACAATGACCTCGAGTGTACATATTTATACCCATAGGGAGACACTAGTCCTTGTCGGATAAGAAAGAAACTAAAAAGGAAAAGATAAAGTCCTTATCGGACACTAAACACACTTTCCTAAGGATAAAAGGAAAATGACAAACTATGCCTAATTAATAGATAACTGTCATGTCGCATTCTTCTTGAACTCGAACTCTTATAGATAAGCTTCCTTTGATTGATCCGACTCCACCAAGAACACGACATCATGGCGACTTGACTCCCATCGGCTGATTCTAGAACTTTGAAGCCGATACTGACTCTAAACCGATGGTAACTTTGGGCTTACCAAATTTCACTGTTAACAGAATCCACAAGAGGATCTTATGGGAGGTAAACGTACCACTAAAAATCAAAGTATTTATGTGGTTTCTTCACAAAAAATTAATCTTGACGAAAGATAACCTCATAAAGAGAAAATGGAGGGGAAACAAGCAATGTTGTTTTTTAATACACAAGAGACCATCCAACATCTTTTCTTTGACTGTCATGTTGCACGTTTTGCTTGGCGATGTGTATTCTTTGCCTTCAATATTCCCCCTCTCCACAATGCAAAAGATATTTTTGGTAACTAGCTAAGGGGAGTGCCTAGACAAAAAAAAAGATTTTATTTGGAGCTAGTGCTCTATGTTGGTCAATTTGGCGTTGCCATAATGATATGGTTTTTAACCATAAAAAAATGCCTAACATCATGCAGATTATCTTCATGTGTTCCAATTGGCTCCACTCTTGATGTATGATGCTTTCACAGGAACAACAAGATACTATGCGCAGTGGTGCTACACGCTTGGAATTGGTAGCCAAGGAACTTTTACTCCAGTTTGGATGGCGTAGTACCTACAGAATTTTGTGATAGACTCTACGTGATTTTAAAAAACATGATTTTAGTAGATCATATTATCGGTAGAAGTTGGGGGTTTGTCCCATCTCGCCTTTTTTAACCTCTTTTATATTCACTTCTGGACTTTTTGGCTGTGTGCCTGTGGGCAGAGGTTAGAGATGTAACCCATTTCCATTATCTAAAAAAAACTTCAGTATACTACTTGTACCAGGAACTGTTCACATATCCGGGAAAGTATTTTAAACTCTTGAGGGAATATTCCTTTATCCTTTACATGTTATCCAAATGATTATGAAATTTTTTTAAAAAAATTAACAAGATGGATTAATATGTGATAAATCACTCTACAAATTACAACGAGAAAAACAAATTTGACCGTGAATACACGTTAACTAGTCATAGTTCCATTTGTTTTTTGTTGTAACTTGTAGAAGTTAAATTTTAACTTGCTTGTTTGTAAAGTGATTTATCACATATTAATCTATCTTGTTGAATTATTTTTCATAATCATTTAAATGATATACAAATAACAAGGGAACGTGCTCATGAGAGTCTGAATCCACTCCCTTGTTAATTTCTTCTAACTTATTTGTCTCGCTGACATATGATCCGTTCTCGAACGAATCCACATATCAAGTGTCTCGAAGCCAAAGAAAAATAAGTTAGATGGTCATATTCCGAACGTACCGGCGACGCTCCCACCATACTGCATTACTGCGGTGTTTCATGTTGCTACATCGATGTATTTCTGGATGAATGGACCACCGGCTGCATGAACATGACACATGTACAGATGTACTAGTACTAGTACTAGGTACTACGTTATACGTACTACTTTCTCTGTATCATACTCCCTCAATCCCCTAGTAAATAAATTTAGCACTGAATGTGATCCATTTTAGTGCAATAAATTTAGATAGAGATATGTCCAAATTTATAATAGTATGATGTATCACATTCAGTACTATGTTATTTTTTTATGAGACGGATGGAGCAATAAATTTTATTTCTAACTTCTATCATTTATTCTAGGTAAGTTTATTGTAAATAATCATTGGACCGGAGTTTGTAAAAGCAATGAATAACTATACTGGAAGTAGATAAATTATGAAATAGTTGTATTCCGATTTGATAAAATATATGTATTCTAGTTTGTTAGTTTTGTATTGATATGTGTGATAAATTATTTGTTTTTGAACGGATGGAGCAGTAATTCGTAGCAGGATTAACTACTAATCCGAACAAAAGATGTGTTTGGGAGCTCCGCTGTTTATCCAACACGCTGACGTAAACAGTAGTACTAGTACAGCACATCAGCTAAAAGCTAGTGATGGGCTATTTGACTTAGTACTCTCTCCGTCCCCTAATATAAAAGATTTAAACTTTTTTATCACTGTTTGCCGTCTTATTAAAAAATAGAATTATTATTTAATTTTTATTTATTTTATTATCTAAAATATTTTAAACACTTTCGTATTTTTATTTGTATGAACTTTTTAAATAAGGTGAGTGATTAAACAGTACAAATAAAATATCAAAATACTTATATTATGTGACGAAGGGAGTATCTTGAGATGGTTATCCTCACCGTGGGTCTAATCGAGAAGCATGGTCACTCACATGCAGCGGTGACGGAAGGGGGGAACAAGACGGATCAGGAGGAAGAGGCTGCGCAGCCGGCCGCGGCAGCAGACGACGCCGTGCAGTCTCGGTTCCCTCCATCGTCGGCGCGGTCATATCTAGAAGGATTCGTTCATCTCTCGTAACGATTCTTTTGGCAGCTTATACGGCTGCACACAATTGATGTGGTGATAGAATTGTGCCTAGGAAGTACGCTCTATTCGCTAGGGTTTATTCGCTAAATTTAAATTCTGGTTTTCATGAAAAATACGTACAAAATTATAATGTTATCAATTATATTAGAGATGTGTCACTCGTTTTTACCTTTTCAGAGTATGTTTTAGGGAATATATTCATGAGTATGTGTATATACGATGTTGTATATGTAGTAACGTGTGCAGACAATGCAGTTAAACAAAATTTCGGCAGATTGAAGAGACTTTGAACGGCTAGTCTGCCGCAGCCGCTGCGGCTACGGCAAAAGTGGCCGCCGAACAAGGCCAATCGTTGGAAAAAGATGAGAACCAAACAAGAATATTCAGATAATATATTCACTTTATATGGCGTCACAGGCTCGCACTCTCACACACAGCTCACTGCCGTTTGTCGATGTTACTCATGAGGCTGCGTTCTTCGTACGTTTTGGTGTGGATGTTTAGCGGCGGTGCGAAAGGAAACAGCCATTAGCGCATTATTATTATGTTAGTTGAGTATTAATTATTAAAAAAACCAAAAATTATACATTTGAACTTTTAAAACTTTCTATATAAAAATAATTATAAAATATCATTTAACGGTTTGACAAACATTCTCACAATCTCACGGTAAATAAGAGATTAGCCCTCTGTAGTGGTAGCAGAAACGAACGCAACCTTTATGACTTTTTTGGAACGTAATATTATCAAAACACATGAATAGAAAAATCACGTAATTCGAATATCATCACACCTTAAATTCCAAGGAATAAAAAACATAGAACAATTACAAAGGAGAAAGAGATGAACACAAAGCAAAAATTCCAAGAGCTTGGAGCTCATGCTAGTAATCCTCCCAAATTCCCATGAAACATGCCATTTTATAGGAATATCAAACAAATTTTAGAGATCCAAACCTTTATTCTAAAGAGCCTCGTACGAATTTTTCATATAGTTCAAATCCTTTAAATTTTTTAATTTTTTTCTTTGTTTCAAAGAAGCCCCGACTCGTATCATGACTCTTTTTCAAGGAAACCTGCAATGCAACAAATGTTCTGCTCGGTGCAAAAAAAAAAAGAAAAAAGAAACAAATGTTCTGCTCCTGCAATGCATATGCACAAGCACAAAACCGCTACTTATATCTGGGTGCTATTGTACTAGGTGTATAGAAAAAAACTTTATGCTGTAGCGGTTTGTGGTGCCAAATATCTTTAGATGCGTCGAACAGGGATGCATTGCTATTGCCATGAAAACTAGTACAGTACAACCCAACAATCTATGGAGTAGCAATAGCAACCATCCCTAAACAGAACAATCTAGCAACCAGGTTGGTTCTGCTCTCTGCATACAGCCATACACTTGACAGGGACAACGACGAAGACTAGTAATAGTGTATTAATACTACATACTCCCTCCGTATTTTAATGTATAACGTCGTTGACTTTTTTAATCAACATTTGACCATCGTCCTATTCAAATTTTTTATGCAAATACAAAAATACTTATGTCATGCTTAAAGAACATTTGATAATAAATCAAGTCACAATAAAATAAATAATAATTACATAAATTTTTTGAATAAAACAAAAGGTCAAACGTTTATTAAAAAGTCAACGACGTCATAAATTAAAATATGGAGGGAGTATATAATAATTATATATCTTCGAGAAGCATGCATGTAGTATACTGCTTAGATGCTTTTTCGCTGCTTACTGCTTAAGGGTATTTTGATTTTTGTTTGCATGATGACAGAGTGTACATAACCAAAAACTCCAAATTTTATTTGTTGGAAAGGGCAAATAATACTAATCTTTCAAAATTTATAAAATTACAGTAAATATAGTGTTATTTTACCTAGTTTGAGGAGGTCAGCCTCTGATCACCGTTGTTAAACTCTTGCTACCAATCACGGAGCAGGTGGCTCAGTCAGATTTGTTAAAATCTCAGGGAGGCGTGGCTCGCCGCCACATGGAGAGAGCGAGAGAGGGAGAGGAGAGGATTGAGGCAAAATGGCAAATTAAGGAGCTGACAGGGCTAGGTTTGGGTGGATGGGGAATATGTGTAAAAATTACATTCACATTACATAAATTTAGTATGTGGGTGTAATTTAGTGAAAAAAAAATCTTAAGAAGTAAGTATGCTAGTGCAACAACTTGATATGCCGGTGTAATTTAGTGCATGAACTTAATAAGTGAGCATACGGAAGAAGTAGCAACTTACAAGGTGGTTGCATTTTGGTATAATAATTTAAGAAGCGCAGCAACATCTTAATTATTTTGAGTATTTTTAACACACATTCAGCTTTTAAATACTTGCACAGATTTATATGAGAATACTTAAATTTTGTAATTCTAGTAATTAGAAGTCAATTAAATTTTACAATATAGAAATGCTTGTATTTCGGTTGAGATTTGAGAATGTGACACAAATTGTTGGTGCAAATTGGATGAGTAGTGTAATTCTTATAGATTAAATTCAATACTAATTATAAGTTAATATTTCGCCGGATTGCTATGTGTTGGAATATTAACTTTGTGAAAAAAAAAACTCATCTACCATCCGTTAACCAAAACAACATGTACATTCTTTTTTTTCCGAGGAAAACAACACATACTTAGGCCCCGTTTGGTAGGGCTCCAAACTCCAACTCCAACAGGAGCTTAGCTCTAGTGGGAGCTGGAGCGAGCTGAAAAGTGTTTGGCTAGTTTTGTCAGCTCCAGAACTCCTAAAAGAGAGGATAGGAGAGTGGTTGACAATAGTACCCTTGTGGTTTTTGCTGTTTTTGTGGTATATAAGTGATAATTGTTTATTTTCTTTAGAATTTCAACAAAATTGTAAGTTAAATAATAATTGACAAAATAGTTGACATAATTAGCAAATAATACAAATGTTCAGTACATTAATAATAGTAGCATTGTCATCGAAATATAAATCAAAGGTCCAGTACATAACTCGCTCGATGGCATAGATCTGATATTAATAATATGCTCTGTCACGATCTCTTAATATTTCAGCAGCAGAACATTGAGAGGTCTTTTGTTCACAACATACAAGTAGCTGCCAGCTGAGTATCTTTAGGCAACAAAAGGTTCTTCCAGTTAGAGGATGACATAAATTCTTTTATGTTGTCCCGTGCAATTGGCATGAGTTTGCTGCATGAAAAACAAGCAACACTCTGAATCAGTGGTGAATGAATCCAATAGAAAAAAGAACCTGCGGTGTCAAACTAAAATACAAATACATCTTTTGGTCTGGGATGAAAGCAGGGGAGTAGAATGACTAGCCATCAAGTGGAGCTCAAATATTCTCTAAACTTTTGAAGACATTCTAGTGGCAAACAACTCATAACTTGCGTTTTTTCTGACCCAACTGCATATGTTTTACTTATGAACATATAAACAGTGCAACCAAATTCATACTTCAATCAATTCATCCTAGAGATCTATCTGACATTTGACAACCTTTTATTGGTCAATCTCATGCTAGAGATCTGTAATAGAGGTTCATTGCAAGCATAACATATGGCATATCACAGATCCAAAACTGAAAGGCAACACATTTGTCATTTTCAATCAGAAACTAAAACTGAAATACATTTTGAAACTGAAACGCAAATACATTCTGAATAGAGGTTACTAGTTTTCAGATGATACATTCAAACACTCACATCACACTTGCGCTTATATATATGCAGCACGCATGGTTACATCCATATATGCATCACAATGAACTTTAGACAACTGTATGCATCCATATATACATCCATAGTTATCGTAAGATTAAGTACATCCAAACATCCATATATACATCCATAGTTAATTTTCTTGTTTCATTTTCTACCATACAGATCTGGAAACCTTGCACACAGATTTGGAAACATGCACACCGATGTGAAAACCTTGCAAATATGAACAATCAATCCACAGAGTAATGAACCAAATCACTAGGGTTTGGAAAATACCTTGTACACAGATCTGGAACCTTGCCGTGCTCTGATTCCGCCGTCGTCGCCGTGCTGCATCACCCCGCTGCTGTGAGCTGTAATGACGCCGAAAGCCGTAGCACCACCCCAACCGCCGCGTCGAGAGGACGAGGGAGGTCTCCGTCGCCATGCGCCGCGCCGTGTGCCTACTCCGCCGCCGTGCACCACCCCAACCGCCGCGCTGTGCGCCTACGCCGCACCGTGCGCCGCCGCCGCTGCCGTCGTGCGCTTCCGCCGTTTCCTCTCGCGGTATCGCCTCCCTTGTCGCTCTCGAGAGAGAAGGGGCTGCGGCTCGGGGGTGGGGGGAATGGGCGGTGCGGTTTGGGTGGGTCAAGGGTAGGGCGGTGGCATTTTTCCTGTAATTTCGACGAAAGATGGTGGGTAGAGCTGTAATTAATTTTGGAGTGGATCTGCGGAGCAACGTTTTTGCCACTCCATCTCGGTAGTATAATTTCTAGGAGAGATTCATCCCGCTCCGCTCTATTTTTTGGTGAATCTAGACCATTTGTCACAGCTCCAGCTCTAGGTAAGTTGGAGTTGGAAGTTGGAGCTGTGCCAAACGAGTCTTAGCTACACTAAAATACTAAATTGTTAAGTTCTTGTTTAGAATGCACCCACTTTTTAAGTTATTTTATTTGGATGTTCAATTTAAGTTATAGTACTAGATAGATTGTATCCACCTAACAAATTATTGTACCGTCAACATAATTTACTTTTATTTCATTCATACAATAGAAGAATTAACATATAACCTCTGCAATGACGAGGTATTTTGCATTCCCTAAGGTGGCTACACATTATGACTTATAACAGGTTATATTGCTACTATCTGTGTCCATTTACTCAGCTACTATAAGAAAGGCAGATTCAGCTTCCCTATCTGAATGTAGTGATCACCGAGAGATTAATTAATTAATCTCACGTGTAATTTTTTAGCAGCTGGTGCCTGGTTTCTATAATAACTTCTATGGTAGTGCATCCTTGAGGCTCCTAGCATACTTCTCCAGCCTTTTGAGCCCTTGTTTGGGAGAAGCTGCTTCACCCAACTGCCTCACCATTGCGCTGCCAATGATCACTCCATCTGCACCCCAATCTGCTATCTGTGTCCATTTTACAATTACATTTTTTTCAGAATTTGCAATCGTTGAGAAGGAAACTTAGATGGTACAAACATATATGCATGATAAAATGATAATTTAATCACCTGTCTAACATGATCAGGGGTTGATATGCCAAAGCCAACACACACAGCTTTGTCAGTGACCTGCTTAATCTCCTGAAGGAGATGCTCAACACGCGGATTTACGTTTTGGATAGATCCTGTAACCCCATTGACACTAACCTGCATGACACGTTTTACAGCAAGCAATTTGTTATTATTTGGTCTTTTTCAGAAAGCTACTTAAACTTATAACAAGTAACCAGGGTTTCTGAAGATTTGTTATAGTGTATTTACCAGATAAACAAATCCTCCTGAAGCCGCTGTGATTGCCTTCATCCTGTCTGCCGGTGTAGCTGGTGTAGTAAGCAGCACCTGCACCCATTAATTCACGCATAGATTCAATTTATTGGTAATTAATTAAATAGATTAATTCACTGATGATCATATAGTAATGAAATCTACATAGATATATACCAGCTCTAGGTTGTTCTTGATGGCTTCACTCCTGAAAGTGGATGTCTCTACGTAAGGAAGATCTGGTACTATAAGACCTGGAACACACATGTGTAACAACTGCAAATTAGCAAACTACTACAACAAGTTACAACTAAAAAAAAAGAATGCCTTTAGATTCAGATGACCATGGACAGAATGTTAATTGTTAGGTACAGTATATTACTTTCTCCATCCTTAAATATTTGACGCCGTTGATTTTTTTAAGCATGTTTAACCGTTCGTCTTATTTAAAAAATTTAAGTAATTATTAATTCATTTTCCATCATTTGATTCATTGTTAAACATACTTTTATATATATATATATATATATATATGTAGTTTTACATATTTTTGAATATGACGAATAGTCAAATATGTTTAAAAAGTTAACGGCGTCAAATATTTAGGGGCGGATGGATAATATCATATACCTTGTACGCCGGCTTCTTTGGCTGCGGCGGTGAAGTTGGCCGGACCTCGCCGGACGATGGGGCCGAAGTAAGAGAAGAGCACCACCGGGCAGGAAAGCTCCGGCGTCACCTCCGCGAGCATCGACATGACCCCGTCCATCGTGGCGCCGGCGGCGAGCGCCCGCGCGGCGGAGGCCTGGATGACGGGGCCGTCGGTGTAGGGGTCGGAGAAGGGCACGCCGAGCTCGATGACGTCGGCGCCGCAGGCGTCGAGCACCCGCAGCGCCTCCGCCGTCGTCCCCATGTCCGGGTCGCCGGCGGTGATGTACGGGATGAACGCCGCCTTCCCCTTCTCCCTTAGCCTCGACATGGTCCGCGACACCGACGACGACATCCCGCGCTCGGCGCCGGCCGGCGCCGGCGCCCGATCGAGCGTCAGCGACGCCGCCACCGCCGCCGCCGGGAGCTTCCGCGCCGCGACCCGCGCCGCGCCGCCGTGCAACGCACCCGTGAGGCGCGTCGTAGCTGGCGACGACGGCGACGACGCCTTCACCGTGAAAGCCATGCACGTCGCGGTGTGTGGCGGCTACGTACGCGCGGTGGAACGTAACCGCGGCGTGGCGTGCGCGCGCGCGGTGTGTACGACGTACGTACGCGGTACGCCTACTGGTTCGATCGATCGGGTCGCGGTGGGTGCGGTGGTGAACTGATGGCGTTCGCCTCTCGGCGTGTGCGGAGTTTATATAGGAGTAGATCGCAGCGGCGGCGAGGGGAGCATGGCGTGAGGTGGTACTTGGACCTAGGAACGAACGAAGAGACGAGCCGCCAGACTGTCCACGCAAGCATGCTAGGCTGCCCATGCATTTTCTCTCTCTTTTTTCCCTTGACTTTTCTATTGCATGCATACAAGATGAACCCATGACCCATTTACTTTTAAGTTTGTGGTTTACAAATACTACTTCACTTTCTACTTGAATACACCGTACTCTCTATTTTATCCATTTAGGGTTTAGAGGCATATAGTAAGTTTATAGATTTTTTACATTTTTTTATTTTTAAAATTCCTTCATACATTTCTTTAAAAATTCATGTCAAAAGTTTATATGTGTAAAGTTTACATATATAAAGTTACCATGTATAAAGTTACTATGTACTATCTGCGTATAACTTTCCATGTCGAAAGTTGCAACATACAAAGTTAGTATATATAAAATTTATATAGATAAAATTACTATGTATAAATTAGTAGTACATGTATCAAGCTATAAATTAGCAGTATACGTAAAGTAGAGAACTCTCGATGAGCAAGAGAAAATGCTTGAGCTAGTGGGTCTATAAAGGTTTTGCACGTGGGCTAGAGAAGAGGGAGTCAGGGGCATATGGCTGAAAGATCAGTGGCTCGTTGCAGTTGCTATGCGCGCACGAGAATACAAAGGAAAGAAACAGCGAGCAAAGCCGATATGTACAGCTGAAATAGGTCCGGACCCGTTCGTGTAGGGCAAACGATCGTGTATTAGACCCACCCGATGCCGCTTGCTTCGACGACCTCCGCTCGGGATTCCTCCTATGAATACATGTGAAATGGTGAATTACTACTGTGCCTCTTTAAACCTTCCAAAAAAATTGGAGATACTTACACCGTGTTTAGTTGCAAATTTTTTCTTCAAACTTCCAACTTTTCCATCACATTAAAACTTTCTTACACACACAAACTTCCAATTTTTCTGTCACATCGTTCCAATTTCAACCAAATTTCCAATTTTGGTATGAACTAAACACACCCTTAGGGCATGCACAAATGTAGAGTCTAATATGAGCTCTCTATATTAATTAATGTCACTAGAGACTATCCTCCTATAATAATAGAGACAATAAGATTTCTAAACCATTAATGCACTAAATATTTTTTTTATTATACTTCTTTCCTTTTTTACACCCTCATGCAACAAACTTTCCGTTAATAAATGCTAAGAGTCGACTCTGAGCCGTTGCATGCGTAGCAACGTTGTTTCTTATTTCTTCCATCTCTTTCTTCCACATCATCAAATTTACTTGCATGACAACGAAAAGAGCCCGTTATTAGAAACTATTGCACATGCCCTTGGTGGACAGATGTGATTTGGGACCTCCATTCTTTAAAGACGTTAAAAACTCTTTTTATTTAATTTGTAGATTTTATATTTTGCGGTGGAGAAATAGTAGGAAACGTCTGCTTGATAGGTCGATGTCGTGGGCACGCGGGCACGGGCGCGTCAGCTCGGTTTCGGTTTGGAGATGTGTCGGGTCGGAATAGCTAGCCCCGCCGTGCAAAACGTGCAGTGTTAAGCAGCACCACTCTCTGTTAATTTGTTCGTGGCCACACGCTCGCGCGACGACCGTTCGTCGCGGATGGCCCAGACACGATCCAATACTCCATCCCTGACACTTCAGTACGAGTACTTGTTCACTGCACTGACCAGACCAAACCAAAGCAACAATGACCAACTGACCATTCCAATTTCCTCTCGACCACCGGCAGAAACGAAATCCAACTGATGAACGTCAATGTGCTCAAAAAAGGGGGGGAAAAAAGCTGATGAACGTGAACACAATTAGTACGATTAGTACCTGCTGATACTGGCGTTGTGATAGTGTCTGCATGCTCTGCTGACTGCTGATCAAACCTGCTGACGTGTAAATGCTGACGTCACGAAAGGAGCAGTACACTAGTGCTCCATCAGCTTAGCTAGTGACGTTCTCCTAACCGTCCGTCGTCGATCTCTATTCGGTAGATCGGCGTATGACTAAACTAATTGGGGAACAAACGGAGCCATCGTTTCGGTGTATTTGTGAACGAAAAGTAATTTATGAATAAAAATTTTTTATACGTGTTCTTAGCAATATATTTAAAAGCAAAAGCTGACAAATAAACTTCAATGAAAAAAACCTTAAAATCAGCTTTAAATTTAAGGTTAAAAATTTAAATTTTGGCTGATAAGCATAAGTATAAACGAAAAGATGTGGCTCTAAATTTGTAAATCCTAAAAAAAGTGAGAGGACAAAAATATAATTGAGATTGAAAATTGAGACAAACAAATTCTCCGATTAATAATACTCTAGGTTGTCTCTCTACGTATATACTCCAATTAATAGTACATAGCTTGAGAGGGACATCAAAGACTAGTACTAATACATGTTTATGCCTTCTAGAAGCTTAGCATGCATGTATTTGGCCTTTTCGGAGTATATGAATAATGTGCTAGAAAAAATGAGTATATGAATTTCACGAGGAACAAATCATAACAAAGGAAAGGCGTGTTTCCTGCTGATTGCTAAATTTTGCTAGTACTGATTTGTTTAGACACTTCCAATTTCCAAACCATATTGGCCTTGCAAAAGGCTATATTCGAGAAATGTTGCATTCCAGCACCCGTGCATATAGGAAAACACAAATCAATAGCGCGTAGAACATGCTATAGCATGTGAACATATATATGTCATTTTTTTCTCAAAGAGAGAGAACAGATATATGACATTTTTGTGCACTGTGCAAATTAAACAGGGCCCATATTGTTGCGAGTGTACATAATGCAACGTATTTTGCATTTATGAATCTGACTGAGCATATCTGATACTTTGATTTTTTTTTTTCAAGTTAAACTTATTTAAATTATATATATATAGGGCACTCATATGGGGCACCATGGTATAAAATACACAAATTCGTCTAAATTTTTCAAAAAATTTAAATTGTTAGTATATACCTAGTTATAAGTATTCGATTCATACCTATACCTAGAAACAAAACAACTTAAATTCAACTTTATTTGACAATCCAGTATTACATACCTAACTAATTATATATTTGGATGCTATATACCTAGAATCAAATCCTAATAAAAACATGTTTAAATTCAATTTAAACTTGTTTTGAACTAGTTGTATAGTTAATATTAATACCTAAACATTTGAAAAAATTTCATACTCATTTGAATTGAGTATATACTCAATTTGAATCATGGAGCCCAGGCACCATGGAGCACCAAACAAATTTAATATATATATATATATATATATATATATATATAATTTTTTTAATACAAATCAAATATATTATTAAAATTATATTTTAATGTTATATGTTGCTAAATTTTTCTAATAAAGTTTGGCTCAAAACGACATACTTACAATATGAATTACTATAACGGAAGAAGTATCTTGGTAGTGCACGTACGCTCCATAATGCTGGGATAAACTTACATTGATGGATGGGCTAATTAATTCCTAATAATTGGTCCGTTTATTCGCGTAAACAAACGTGTCCTAATTGCGACCATCATGATGGTGATGTCATTTCCAAATTAAGCTCTTCAGAATTTTGCTGGCCGACACCACGTGGAAGACAAGGCCTAAGAATAGTCAGAGCGGTGGCGTTTAATTTCCTTTTGTTTTAAATTTCTTTCAGAAATTATATCACCCACACATGCGCAGTGCAACGAGAATCACAAACGGCGTGCACATATATGGGGAAAAAGAATCCGTGAGCACCGTAGCAACTACTCCAGCAACTGTGTTTTCAATTCTGCAAATGCTATTCTCTGTTAAAAACAAGTTCTATATGACAATATCACTCCGATAAATTGTCTAATCTAAAAAATATTTCTGTAGACTTTTTTTAAAAAAAATCATACTTTTAAAAGCGTGGTAAGAATAATCTAAGCTATAGACTCATACTTTTGAAAGCGTGGCACAAGAATAATCCAGACATACAGAACGTAACTCAACTTGTTAATTAGGTTTTTCTACGGTGGAACCAACACACTCATGTTAAATCATGGACTTCTTGATATGATACTCATATTACAACTAATTTTTTTTTAGTGGTGTGAAGACTTGACCTGCGTCTTTTTTAAAAAATAAAATCCAAATATACACGGTGTTACTGGATCTCCCGGCCCTACAGAATTGGGCGAGATGGTGACTGATCTCATGGGCCATGACGTATACAAACCTATATGGGCCTTCGCTCTATTTACTGGCCCGGTTTAGACATTGGCTTCCTCCTTACCTCGGGAGGCCTCATTTATATGGACCTTGATTTCAGTTCAGATTCCAAGCTTACCCACCCACCTAAAAGGCCCCAATTTAGGCCCATCACATCGAGGCCGAAACGCGAAGTGACAGTGACAAGGGAAGGACGGCCCACGTACAGCCCATCAAGGCCCATATCCACTTCGCCTCTTCCCTTTGATGTTGCGAGTGAATAAAGTCGAAGCGACTCCTCCTCCGATCCCCACCTCGCTTCACACTAGCCGAGGAGACGCGAGCGCGAGCTGCTCTCCTCTCCTCCCGCCCCGCGTCGCCGACGTCGAGGCGGCGGTCGACGTCGACGTCGCCGGGGATGGCCGGGCAGCAGCCGCAGCAGCAGGGCCCACCGGAGGACGACTTTTTCGACCAGTTCTTCTCCCTGACCAGCTCCTTCCCTGGCGCCGCGCCGGGCGGCCGCGCCGCCGGTGACCAGCCCTTCTCCCTCGCGCTCAGCCTCGACGCCGCCGCGGCGGCCGAGGCGTCCGGGAGCGGGAAGAGGCTCGGGGTCGGCGATGACGCCGAGGGTGGCGGCAGCAAGGCGGTGAGTGCGCGCGCGCGCGCAATCCTCTCTCCCTCTCGCTAACTTTCCCCATTTTTGCTTTTGCGTTGGCTCTCCTCGTTCGAGTGGGAACGGAGGCGCGTGTGCTTGCGTGATAAGCTTCGAGCTCGCCTCTGTAGGATCGGGAGACCGTGCAGCTCACCGGACTCTTCCCGCCGGTGTTCGGCGGCGGCGGCGTGCAGCCGCCGAACCTCCGCCCCACCCCGCCTACCCAGGTGCTCTGTTGCAGCAGCGGATTGTGTCTCAGTTCGAAATCGGCAGAGCTGGTGCTAATTTTTGTTGTATTTGGGCGGCCTTATGGCGAATTTTTCAGGTGTTCCACCCGCAGCAGTCGAAGCAGGGCGGAGCAGCCGTCGGGCCGCAGCCGCCGGCGCCGAGGCCGAAGGTGCGAGCGCGGCGTGGGCAGGCGACCGACCCCCACAGCATCGCGGAGAGGGTAATCAAATCAGTTCCCGCAGTTACACTCTCTTAGCTTATGGTCTTTCATCTTGGGTATTTTACTGTTGAGAACTTGTGATCTGCATAAGTCACTGTACCATTCAGACATGCTGTTTGGCGTTTGTAAGGTGATCAGGGTTTAAATTTCAATGCAAATTTTTGCTAGGTTTAGAATTGGATTTGGTGGTTCCTACATGCTTGTAATGCAGAGGAAATAATCAGTTGTCTCATGCTACGAGTGAGTCACCGAAGCAGTTCTGTTGTAATGTGAGACTGTGAGTGCAATAATGCACTCTCTTGTTAGGCAAGTCGGATCAATTAGGACTTTCAAATTCGAAGGGATTGTCACCCGTGATTTTTTTTTCTCAGATAAATGTACAGAACAAATCCAATTTGTAAGAAAAATATAGCATGTTCTAAAAGAGGATGTTACTTTAGATAGATGATGGCCGGCCATTTGGCGCAGTTATAAGGTGTTTTCCTTCTGGTCTGTACTATTATACCACAAGTCTTATCTTTTTGACAATTGATATGTCATGCCGCAATCCTGTCATATAGCAAATGTCATGTAATTGTTATCTAGCTGTAGAATGCTTCTGCTTTAAGATAGGTTCTCAGTACTTTGTTTCTAGCAGTTGTAGATGTGTCCGATGCTCATTTGCTGTTATTTATATGAATGACCACCTTACTTTAGGCTGCATATTCTCACTTTTCATATTTTTTTTTAATTTTTGGACAATTCTTCTAAGTGTTTGATCAGCAGTGCTCTGAAGCATATTTGTTCTGATGCAGCTAAGAAGAGAGAGAATAGCAGAAAGGATGAGGGCCCTACAGGAATTGGTCCCCAATACAAACAAGGTAATATTATTTGTTATACTTTTAGGTTTTATTATAAGGGTAAAGACTTCTGTGGTTCACATGCTAGCCATTGAAAAAATTTTGGCAAGTGGTTTGGGTCATGATGTGCTCACAATATTATATTAATTCTTTTTTAATATAAATTTTCTTCTTTAAAAGAGTGTTTCGGTTCACTGAGAACCATGCGATCAAATCTTAGTATGCTGTCCCTTTTGAGATAAGCAAGAGCGCATCCTTAGGGTTATATGCATGCTTAAAATAACATGTGATTTTACTACTATAATACAGAGTTCCGTAAATTGCAACATCAGAGGTTGACTATGGGGGAAATAACTCTGATGTCTTCTTGAACTATGCAGACAGATAGGGCAGCTATGCTAGATGAGATCCTTGATTATGTGAAATTCCTGAGGCTGCAAGTAAAGGTTTGGTTCACTATGCTATTATCTAGTAAGCATAAACCACATTTTGTGTTTTTAGTTGTTTGATAGAGCATGATTCTATGGTGGTAGGTTTTAAGCATGAGCAGGCTGGGTGGCGCGGGTGCTGTTGCACAGCTGGTTGCTGATATTCCACTTTCAGTTAAGGTAAATCTGTGGCCATTAACTAATATATAGCACTGTGCCCAGTTACTTTCTCTCGACTTAGTTTTTACTGCCATTCTTAATATACTTCCTTCGGTCAAAATTATTTGACGTTGGCTATGTGGTTTATTTGTTAGTTCAAGGTTTTCTTCTCTCTTGTATAAAAGCAATACATCAAGCATATCATCCTCATAACTATGTATAGTAAAATTGTGAACTAATTGCTCTCTGCAGTGCCTATTTTTCATTCTTTTAAATTATATGCTACTTGTTCTTGCCCATTCTCTCTCTCCCTTCTCCTCCTCTTGCTCCTCCCTCCTCTCTCTGTGTGTGACTGCAGAGAAATTGATGGATGTTTGCTACATGGGAAAGCATCAGCCTGTACTTAAATCAGATCTCCATACAAAATAAAAGCACCTTTGTCTTTGTTTCATACTGACAATTACTCTGTATTTCCACTTTATTCAAACAAAATATGAATCAGTTTTCCCTTGCAAGAATCATTCTACTTCTGATTCCTCTATTTTTCTCTCGTGAAGTTTTTCACTTCTTTCTTCTAGACAGTGGTGCTGAAAGGCAGTTCCCACTCACCACCTTATTTTCACTGCTGGCCTTTTATTGATTTCTTGATCTAATTGTCTATGTCAGTGCAATCCATTTGTACTTTTGCTATCAGTGACAGTGATTGTAGCTTTTCCTGTCTCTTCTTGAACATAAAACTTCTATGTCTATAGTTTAACAATAATGAATAGTGTTAAAGTCTTAGCAAGATGAAGATATGACACATTTCTACCATATGACAACATGTCTTGTAGATCCCACATTAAAATCTCTCTCATCTCTAGTTTCCTGATGAGCACAGTGTCTCCATTAGGCTTTTGCTTGCTTCAGAGCCCAATTACAAAGACTTGTATACTTCCTGATCCCCATCGATCGCTCCATAGTACTCCTTCCGTTTCACAACGTAAGTCATTCTAGTATATCTATCTAGATTCATTAACATCAATATGAATGTGGAAAATGCTAAAATGACTTACATTGTGAAACGGAGGAAGAAGCAAAAGAATGGTGTGCATTATTTCTTTCGTGAACGATCACACCTTCACTCAAGGAATCAATTTGAGAGTCCTTTTCCGTCTCTGCTCTTTCATATCTTTTGGTTGTTAAACTGTATCTTGCTTTATTTTCGTTAGGGGGAAGCAAGCGATAGTGGGGGCAACCAACAGATTTGGGAAAAGTGGTCAACGGATGGCACAGAAAGACAGGTAGCGAAGCTGATGGAAGAAGACATCGGGGCAGCGATGCAATTTCTCCAATCCAAAGCACTCTGCATGATGCCAATCTCGCTCGCCATGGCAATCTATGACACACAACAAACACAGGATGGACAACCAGTGAAGCACGAACCCAACACTCCTTCCTAGTATAGTAATAGCAACTGTAAGTCTGTAACATGAATCGTTACAACCCCTAGTAGACATCAACCTATCAAAGTGTAAGATAAAACAGCTCGTTTTGATTCACTAACAAGGAGGCAGGAAAAGACCTAAGAGATCCTCTCCACTTGAAGTTGTACCAATGGTATATGATGTCACCTTTCGTTATCATCTTTTGTTCAAAGGTGCTTTGATTGCAAGGATATGGTAAGCAATAGCCTGCTCATCCTCCTACACCTTTCAATGCCCCTATGAGCGCGGGTGATTGAGAGAGCTACTAAAGAGTCTGGCATGCTCTCACATTGTCTCTTTTCGAGTCTGTAGTGCACCAACCATACACTTTGTGGTGGGGACTGCTTTTTTGGTAGTGGGTGTTTGGACTAATCAAAAGGGATTGATGTATGCCTGTGTCTGCAGCCTGCACAATGGTTGACGGAATTTGAACACAAGATGAAATGGAAGATGATTTTGATGGTGATGTTCATTTATCTCCATTTTTCCAAAGTGGAGGCGGAGGCTTTGGTCAATGGAGGCTGAGCGTGCGCTAAGCTGATCGCTAGTGGGTCTGCTATCTACATCTACATGCACTACTGTTGTATCTATTGTGACATACTCTTGATAAGAAACTGCGGTATAAAGTTTAATCTTTCTATTGGCGATTAATCCATAGAATTACTTTGTATTTTCTGCCATGAGTTCTCAACTACCCACATTATTTGTGAAGAACAGCTGTTCTTGTACTGTTCACTGCCCTCTACCACAGGGTTTCCTGAGTTTGTGGACAAATTGTGAGAATCTACAGCAAGGACTATTGAGTTTTTTTTTGTCAACTGACGATTTGTTTGGATGTTACTGTAAGCAATTCACCCATCTCAATACTTGATATGTGCTCACATGTTAATAATTCATGGGTTAAATATCTGGTCAAGTTTATACTTGCACTAAGGTTGTTTATCCTGCATCTTTGATTTTAAAAAGTTTGATTTCAAGTGTGATTACTTATCTGGGAACTGTTCTATAAAAAAGTGACGGCTACCTTTTATTTCTACAGGCTGAAATATTGATTTGCAGGAAGAAATGAAGTTTGTTCCTTCCATTCATATGTTTGTGCTATACTGCAGAAAACTGCTACCGGTTTTAGTGCTTTTGGTACTCCAATGGTGCTATCCTTATCTCTCTGATGATATACATAATTTTTACTCATCAAGCTTACTTTGCATTTTCTAATGGCACAGTCAATGGTATCATGCACTCATATGCTGTGCTTGGCTGGAGAGGAAACTGCTGGGCTGACTATACAGCAGTCGAAATTTTTTGTGCTCTGCTCATGTCTGAATACTATGGTTCATTGATTGATTTGTGTATTGCAGAGCTCCTGGTAAACCAGGTAAATCTGCTTTCAACACATTGTGTCAGACTTTTTGGTGTTATTCTGCAGTTTTTTTTTAAAAAAAAATAACTGAAGATGGCTGCATTATGTCCGGCAAACTTGTGAAAATGACCCATTTGCCCTTGTCAACATAGATAGGGGTCATTTTCACGCAAAATTGGCAATTTGTAAAGATTTACTCTCTCTTTCCAATGATATATTTGTAAATTCATCCGAAAGAATAGCATCTTATGAGTGACCGTCCATAAAAGTACCAAATAGTCAAATTCCCCATCAAGAATCAGGATAACTCACAAGGGATCTGAAACTTGGGATCCCCTGGAGCCTGGGTCGTTGAGACGGTGGATTTTTATTTTAATTTTATATGGTTGAGAGAGTGGATAAATAGGTGCTTTGGCCACGGCTCACCGAATAGGCAATGCCATGTCGACCCACGTGCTGAGACTGGAGCCTAAGCATGGCGGCCATGGCCCAATGAGATGTTGGGCCATATCGTGTTAGGCTAGTACGTATTGGGGTACATGTGTTGTGCCGGAGGTCTGTAGCCCAAATTCGACATATACCAAGAAAAAAATGCGAATAGTCCGTTGCATCCTGCCACACAAACTTGGGAAGATCTGGCGAGGTCCTCCGCTCACCGATAGCACATTCCTCTTCCTCCTCGTCAAGCACTGTCATGGCACTTCGTTTCCTACTTCCTTCGTCTCGAATCAATGAGCTGCCAATGATCGACACGCTCAGTGGTTGTGCTCACGACTGGGCCGGCCGCACCACTATGATGTTGTCTCTTTTTCATGTACCCTTTTAGTGTAATCTGTTGGCAACACCTGGGGATCCAATGGAATCCAAATCTGGAATTTTATCAGATGGTAGTATTGGCAAGAATTCAGTTCGCGCATAAGGGCTTTTTGGAAATCTTCTTCTTGGCTGCTTGGCATATCTAGAAGCAAAGGAATGGTTTCATCTTCCAAAATAATCACCCCACCTTCCAATCGTGGAGATTACTTTTCAAAAATGAAGTTCTTCTGCATATGTGCAGAATGAAGGATCCTCTCAAATAGCTGGTTTTAGACTGGTTACAAACTATATAGGAATCTTGTTTTCGTTTCCTTTTTTCTCTTTGTAACTTTGTATATATTCTTTTCATTTATAAAATTACACTGCTGGGCAAAGCCCTGGCAGTTTCCCCGGTCAAAAAAAAATGCCTACGTTGATGAGCATCCACCATCGCTTTCCTCTACCCTGAGCCTTGGCTTCCTCAATTCTTCCGTTCTTCTTTGCTCCTTGCTCTTGCTCGGATGTCAGTTGCTCAACTGGCGGTTGTTCACCGGTCGTCGATCGTCACTGTGTCGCATGGGCCAGGGCATGCCGTGCCATTCGGGGGCCATGTCATGCTAGCTTCCCACATACAACTTGTCGTGCGGGGTTGGGGTGGCGGCCCAAGCATGGTATGGTTAGATGGGTCGTGCCATCATGACCCATAGCTAAACAGGGTGTACCATTCCTGGGTCGGGAACTATACATACATGCCCGGGCTAATACGGAAAGGCCTAGCCCATTTTATATCCTATAGGAAGATTCGGCAAACTCATAGAAGATGATTAGTAAGCTAGATGTTCCACCTCTTTATCTTATATGGACAAAATTTATGGCCCCATCTTTTTGCTTATGCTGATGCTTATCAACAAAAAATTGAATTTTCAACCTTAAATTTAAAGCTGATTTTGAGTTTTTTTCATCGAAGTTTATTTTTCAGCCTTCGCTTTTAGGTCGCTAAAAACACGTATGTAAAATTTTTATTCACAAATTACTTATTGTGGAATAAGCCAAACAATGAGGCCGTTAGATGTCTGGTACTAATCACCCTTCCTTTAAAACTTACACTAAGGCTACACCATAAGAAATAAAAAACCATTTTGTATCTCTGTAACATCCATATCGGTTTGAAGCCTGCATATGAAAGGCTAAAAATATTTTTTTTTAGTGTGTCCCACCTTAAGATTAAGATTAAGAAAAGACCATAAATATTGTAGCATAATAATGTTATTAGTGAAAGACCATCTCCATGAACTTAAATAAACTGAGGATGCCCTAGGCCGAGCGTTGAACGCGGACGGGGAGCAAATTGCCTGAGAGCCGAAACGCGCGAAACGACCCGCCCGCCCACGCGGCCCAGCCCAACCAGGTCGCACAACGCAACTCGCGAGGGCGAGCGACTGAGACCGTCTCCTCTCGTCTCGTCTCCCCGCTAGGGTTCAGGCCATGGCGCACGGCCGCGCCGCCGCCGTACGCCGCCCCAAGTCGTCGTCGGCGTCGTCCGCGGGGGCGGCTGCCGAACGGAAGCGGAAGCGCGCCGCCGCCGCCAAGACCGTTTCCCTCAAGAACCAGATCCGCTCCACCGAGCGCCTGCTCCGCAAGGTAACTTAACCTACCTGGGGTTCGGGTTTGGGTTGGAAAGCGCTGCCTCTCGCTCGCTTCTGCTGCTGCTGCTACTGCTGCTAATTCTGCTCCCATGATTAACTTGTTTAGTAATTTAGTTAGTAGCTTACTATCTACTGCTCCGGTGTGTGGAGTGGTGGTGGGGAACAACGATAAATTCGTCTCCGTTGACTGAATTTTGCTTTGATTAGTATCTTCTGCTACTTGCTACGGCGGGGATTATGGAATGGATTGTTTTGAGGTTCCGAGCAGCTTGGCTCGGGTTATTGCAGTAGTTTCGTGAATGGTCATTCGCCTCACGAATTGCAACCCTCCCGTGGGGCATTGCTTATAGGGGGAAAAAAGATAAACGAGCCTGATGTTAAGTATGCAACCACAACTAGATGAATCAGAATGATGTTAATAGAAGTGATGTGTTTGCTCATTTCAGAGTAGGATGGTAAAGGTTGGGTTGATGATGATTGGTTACAACATACTTGTAGGTTGGCAGCTTTAATGTAGGAAACAAGTAGGGATTGAGGGACAATTGATTGTAGAATGTAGAGCACCTTGCATGCTGGTCATAGAGCACATTGCATGCATATATGTCTGCCCAAGCTCGCATGTACTATACCCAAGGGTAACCTTTACAAGATTCCAGGATTCCACTGAAAATCAAGTTAAAAACACCTATAAGGCTGTATGCAAGAAGACAGCCTACTGTTTTGGTCATTGTAATTCAATTCTATTCGAGGACACTATGCTTGTCTGTGCACCAGTGCTTGATGTCAACGGTACTGACAATGCACGCATGGTGTGTTTTTTGGGTAGGCTTGCAGGAATCCCTTCCCCCCCCTAAAAAAAGCAATGTATCAAATGGTTATAACCATCTTCTGTGGCAACACTGCTAGCAGTTTTAAGTATTCGTGCATGCTTAAGAGTTAGAACTTCTCCAAGTATTGGGGTTGATCATTTGTTGGGGTCTATTCTAATCGGTATCATTTCCCTTAACATGCCTTAGTGCCAATTGTTACATGCATGCATTACTCTGTTTTTTTTTCCCAGGCCTGTTGTTAAGATGCTAATATTGTATATTTGGTCAGGACCTTCCTAATGACATTAGGGTAGCTCAAGAGAAGAAACTGGAAGAATTGAAGCGGCAACAAGAGCTTCAGAATCAACTGGCTATTCAACGAACAGTTCAGCTGAGAGATAGAAAGATAAAATTCTTTGGTCTGCTGGACATTCTGCTTCATTCTTGCTCCTGTATGATGACCTTTAACTGAACATATGTACTTATCATTTTGTTTGTATTGGTATTTGAAAACTTTGAAGAGAGGCGAAAGATTGAGAGGATGATCAGGCGCCTTGAGAAGCAGCAACGTTCAAATGCCGATGATGCCAGCAATAAACTGTCAAAATTAAAGGAAGATCTTGAGTATGTTAGGGTAAGCTTACTGTTCTTTATCCCCCTTGCTGAATCAGTATCTTTGCATTAATTTACTACTTACCTCATCCCAAAAAGAGTTTACTTTTCTACTCGAATATAGACAAGTGGTTGTCCAGATTCGTGTAGAAAGTGAACTCTTTTTGGGACGGAGGTAGTACAGTTTTTGTGTGGACTATCCTCAAGTCTCATTCTTAAACGACTCTTGAAATAGGTGTTCATTATTTTTTTCAAAATTGGATAAAAAATCATTGTTCCGTCTGAACCTGCTTGAATTCCAAGCTAAAATTATGCTGTTTTACTCATGTGCAGTTTTTCCCAAAGAATGAGAAATATGTCTCACTGTTTTCTGGAGGGAATACCCCAGATATGTTAGAGAAGAGGAATAAGTGGCGTAAACAGATAAAAGAAAATTTGATGGCTGCTGCAGAAAATGGAAAAGACTTGGAAGGTGTGTGTTTACATTACCGTTTACTAGATTACTTATGTTCTATTTGTATTCTTCATGCACTTCTAGCTTTTCATTTGAAAATTGTACTGCCTGTTTGGCTACATATCTACTCTGAAGTACTAAATTTTATTTTTCTCGTCGCCTAACAGAGACAGCAAGCGATGATGATACTGTGGATGTGAGTGATGACGACTTCTTCATGTCGGGGAGTTCAAGTGATGAAGAGGCTGATGATGAATGGACTGACAAAAGTGCCAAGTATGATGCTCCCTCATGTTTGTTGCATCTTCCTTGTTACGTTCCATCTGATATATCATGTGTTAAGCTACTATATTGCAATTATTCCATTTGCTCAGATAAATGTATATAACCAATAAATTTATGCTTTGCTGCTCAGATAGCAATATAGCTTTAGAATTGGTGACTACTCACTGTTTACAGTAATTTTCCTAAGCTTGTCTATGTTTAGTTACTGTAGGGTTATCTAAAAATTATCTCTGGATAATACAAAATCTGGAAGTAATCCATGAAATACTCGATTATTTGTTAAAGATAGCACCTTTTGAGATCATAGCTGTTTTGTGCGCCTGGATCATAGGCTTGTAGTTTGTCCTTTTCAGTCTCTTATGTTAATGTTGTACTTAGTCTAAAACTGCATAGACATTCTGCAGAAAAGGCATCTTTCCTGATTTTGTTAGTTTAATGCAGAGAACCAGCTTCCAGTGCTTCAGGTAAGGCAGCGTCTGGCATGTCAAGCGATGAAAAGAATCAGGTTGTTCTCTCTATACTGGTATTTCAATTTACAAACTTCTTCAAATTTCCAGTAGGTTGCTTTGGTATGCTTCCCTACATTTAATCCCGTCTGTTTTGCTTTTCAGCGTCAGAGAGATGCTCGAGTTCTTATGCCACCACCTCGTTCATTAGCACCAAATAGAACTAGACCAGGGGTGAAACACGTGTTATCCAGCTCAAGCAATACTTCAAATAGCACAAGTGGTGGCACTTTCAAAAATAGGAGAGCAGCAAATCAGCCTGGAGATCATAACAGCAACCTGAGTTCAAATTCTGATGCTCATAAACCACGTCGCAAAAGGAGACATCGGAAGAAAAAGAAGCTGGTATAAACTTTGCACCCATGCTATGAACTTAATTAAATTTATTTTTCGTGATATCTGTATTTGACAAAAATAACTTGTGCGATTTAACATTCAAATGCAAGTTATATCGACATTATCTATGACCTGCATACATTATATTTGCAATTACGACACTTATGTGAAATGCGTGCTTTGTGTGAAATACATTATCTCTGAATTTTAGTTTTACTGAAATTTTATCTGATTGTACAAATGCCTTAAGGATTTTATATGCACATTGTATGTTCCACCACAAGTGAAGATCATACAAACAGTAACAATATTGAAACATGCATATCGTTTTTAAGGCTATAGGGAGGAAAATATTTCTGCATGATGTGTGTATAACTGTAAGTTGGTTATGCTTGATTTTTTTTAAACAAAAGTTGTTGATGATATCATTAGGAATGATAACTTGGTTGGTTTGCTTTGTACATTGTCTGCCTGAGAAAAAAAAATGGCATGCACTATCAGCTTGTTTCCCTGATATTAATTGTCATGCTACCTGTCCATCTCAACAGGCATGAATATTCTGGAGCGTGAGGTGGAAGCTGATTTTATTCCCGCACCAAAGTGTGTACTAAGGCTGGTTACTATCAAAAGAATGGAGACAACATGTGTGCCCTGAGGAAGTTGCTGATTTTGTGCGCCCTCTCTCGATGTAAAATGAATCTCCTATCGCTCTTCACTCAATCACTCATTTGTTTTACAGTAACCATCCAAAAAGTTCCGATTATTAACTGAATGCATGCTGGTCTTTACCATGAAGCTGTGCTTTTCCTTATTTTTTTTTCCTTCATGACCCACCATCAATCAATTCACGGGTACCTGAAAGCTGTAATTGTGGTTTTAGGGACAGCTCCATGAATTCAGAATTTCGGTACATACTGATTCTTGTCGGGAGGCAAATGCATATGCTTTTATCATTGCTAGGCTGTGAGCGGTTGTCGTTGTCTGCTCCCAGGTCTGGGATTACATGACCTGTAAGGCGTGATATGGATGTTCAATTGTCTCCCTACTGTCTGATCCGCATCTATCATGTGGGTCTAGTGCACGTTGTCTGTAGTCACTGTAGCACCAGCATTTTCATATTCTCCCTCCCATCACTTTGCAAAATTAGAGAGACCCTTCTCACTGGACTGTTGCCACACTGTATTTTTACCTACTAGTATCAATGTTATACAGTGCAGCTACATTATCTCTGTCGTTTGCTGGCATTTTGGCCAGGTTTTCTCTTGCAGCCATGCATGCATGCATCGCCTATGTGGTGTAGTAGGTCAGTATCAGTAGGTCCCGGTTATGACCTGTGCTGCTGTGCACAGTTTGTGACATTCTGGGCTGCAGTAAAGTTCCAGGTACCATCGTTATCAGTGTGGCTCACTCGCCTCTGCATCCTATGCTATGATCCATATGATGTGTCGTCATTCCATGCATGTAGTTTTCCCACACCACCTTAAAATGAGTTCATCTTTAACCTTTACCATTTGTACTAAAATAATTTTACTTCTTTCTTTTTATCTATTGCATCGATGAGTTTCATTTCTTCAATACCCCCATCTACACATCCATTAATACTATTTTTCTTATTAATAGAAGGTACTTTGGTGTTTTTCACTTTGTATTAATTTGCATTCCAACGATGAAAGATGAAGTTATTTTGGGATAGAGGTAGCTTGTTTTTCTTTTGATTTTGCCGTGCATTTGGATGCTTCTGCTGCTGTGATCTCTCTTGATGGGTACTATGTGACGTCTCTGTTATTCTTTTCAAGCGTACACCCTGTGCAAGACTGGAACGTAACAGGAGCTTTGGGAAAATCGAATGGATGGATATGCATCTCTCTCTTTGGAAAATTGAATGTACTATCCTTGTACTACAATTTCCTGCCTAGCAGGTGTAGTAGTTGAGACTTAATAGTAGGAGCATCTCTGAAGGCGATTACTCAGTGAGCAGGTAATAATCTGATGGCTGATGCACCGTCAGGTGCAGTAGTTGCAGTACTGTTGAGATGGTGAGAGAGACTGCATGGCCATTACTGCCAGATTTGTGAGATTAATGGACAGTAGATGCGTGATTGATTACAAGAATTAAAGCAGAATACATAAATGAGTAGTATGCTGAGATCTGGCGCCTTCAAGTGCTTGTCGTTCTTCACTTGTACTCCATATACGATAGTGAACTTCAAAGGCATACTACACATGAAAAAGGAACAGCAACGAGAAAAGAAGATTGGTCTTGTTTCAGAGAAAAGAAAAGAAGATTGGGAGACAATTCTTGATGTGACAAGGTCTCGTTTTGACAGTTAACGTACTGTTCTTGTTTTTTTATGACTCTGGTCAGCATCAGTAAATCACACAGAGATTAAAAGGAATCAAACAGCTGGGAGGAAATTAAAATGACCAAACTTCCAAGTTTCTCTTTCTTCAGCTCTCAGATTTCTTCAGTGACACAACAGAAGCTAGAAAAAAAAAAGCTTTAAAAAAAAGGCATGTGTACACAAATCTGCAGAACTAGCAGTTGCCATTTCCAACAACCAAAATCTCAGCTAGATTATTCTGTACATAGGAGTACTGCAGCTCTGCTCGATCGATCATATCCTCCTCCTCACCAACTCCGATCCAACTGAATCCTGAACTTTTTTAGAATTCAGATCCTTGGATATCTCATCTACACATCTACGTAGAACAAAAACAAGATGCATCCACGTGTAAGTGTCCTTCTTGGCCAGCCGTCCGATCGCCATGCATGACGATGTCCACGGATAGATCTCATCTCTCTCATGCATGAAGCCTTTTTTCTGTGAGATGTCTACTCCATGCATGCATCGGCGAAAATTTTTTCTTCAGCTCGACGCCTTTCGATTTCGATATATATCATCTCGCCTCAGATCCTCGCATTATCCGCAGCTTCTTGCAAGAAGAGATGAACATGCTGCAAAAGCACAAAAAGATTCAAATTAGAGACAAATAAACACACAAGATTTTCCATGGATGGATAATTAACATGTGTGTGTATGGTGCTTACTCCCAGGGCACGTCGCCGGCGAGCATGAGGTCGCCGTCCTTGTCCTCATAGGCGACGGCGAAGTGGGCGGCGGAGGCGGAGGCGTCGGCGGAGAAGCAGCCGAAGAGCGCGTCGAGAGCGTCCCTGAGCTCCCTGTAGCCGCCGTACATCCGGAGGTCGACCTTGCGGAGGTATGGCGCCCCGTCCATGCTCACCTTCACGTACAGCCCTCCTCCCTTATTCTTCCTCCCTTGATCCGTCTCGCCGCCGCCCTTCCCCTTCGCCGCCGCCGCCGTCGACGACGACGAAGACTGGAACGTGCTCCTCCTGTACGACCCCACCGGCGGCCACCCCACCACCTGCACTCTGCTCACCCACACAAGAAATTGTAAGATTGGCTGCAAATCGAGCTGGCACACATGGCGAGAGAGAGAGCTAGAGCTAGAACTTACTTGGACGCCGGCGAGGCGCCGTCTTCGACGTCCCGGGCGCCGGCGCCGCCGCAGCAGGCCGTGCCGGAGGCCTCGCTCTTCACCGTCGACGACGCCGACCGCCGCTTCTTCGCCGCCACGCCGTCACCGCCGCCGCTGCCGGGCAGCCCGAGGCGCAGCTCCGCGTCGATGCTCTCCGCCGCCATGGCCATCGATCGAGAGAGAGAGCTAGCTCGTCGGCGTTCGTCGCTGCGACACTGACCTCGTCGTCTCGTGCTGCTTTGGTTGCGCGTCGCGTTATATAGAGCGGTTAGTTAGTTGTTGCGTGCGTGCCCTAGCATGTGAGTATGCCAGGTGGGCCCGGGAGACAGGGAGGACGCATGGTTGGGTGGGCCCCATCGGGCAGACAGGTGGGGCCAGACGCGATGGGCTAGGTCGGGTACTTACTCGGGTCGGGTATAGATTCCCCGCGGTGGGCGGGGGCGCTGTTCGTGCACGTCGGGGGCAGCGCATGTGGGGGTGACGGGTGGGGCCCACATGTCGGTGTGGGGGGGGGGCACGCGTGCTGGCGGGGGTGCCACGGTGTGGGGCTCACACGTGTCGTCGCGACGCGGGCAGTCTGGTTTTGGTTGCATGGGGCCACGTCACGCGCTCCGGTGTGCATGCGTAGCTGGAACGGATAGGCACCTGTCATTGCCCTGCATACGTCATACTCATTCTCGCATTTCTACGCCGGTTTCCAAGACGATAATACATCCCTACTCCCTCAAAAACCCAATTCTCCCGATAAATTTGGAGATACATAATGTTTAAATCATTATTATTAGAACTAAGTTGTAGAGAGCAGATATTATTTTTTTTAAAAATAAAGTACAAACGTAGACGCTCACAACACGTGCACACTCATCCCTATAAATACATGCACGTACATTCTACCTCTACGAGCATATCTGTAAGATTGGACAGTATATTTTGAGATTGTGTCAGCATAGAATGGGGGGACGGCCCTAATGTTGTGTTGGCCGGGTTGCGAGCGGATAAAAGCGGACGTGGGGACTCGGGTCGGGGCACAGCGTAACTAAGATAAGAGAGCCATTCCATTTAGGGCGAGACAGAATGGGCGGGCACAAGCGGTCTGGTGTCCGAGCCGATTGGTCAGACGGTGAAGAAGTTATCACGAACACCTTATTGTCGAGAGTTAATTATCTGAATATTCTTTTGATTATATTATTGGGAATTGATTTTTATAGATGGATATAGTCCGAAGTTAGTTTTTTTTTTTAAGGATCGAGGGGATTGGTAAATTTTGTAGCACCTTTTTGCCGAGAGAGTTTGGTGTGGTTCAAATCCAGATGAGTGAGTTTATTAACCCAAACTTTCATGTGAACCGTGTCGGATCGTCAAAGGTGATACGCGTACGTGTGCATGCAAATATGCAATGCAAAGCATGGTATCCAGCTAAGCGCAAAACGGATCCGGGCCAGACATGCACACGCAACCCAATCGCCCACGAAACTTTTTTGCATGCATATGGCAAACGGAAAATATGGCATTCATATGTCTTAATTATCACTGAAAAGGCAAAAAAAAAAAGAAGAAAAACACACTCCCTCGCTTCATATTATAAATTATTTATCTTTTTCTAATCAAACTTTTTATAAAAATATAGTAGTATTTTCAATACAAAACAGACATATTATCAAAATACATTTAATGTTAGATTAAATAAAACTAATTTGATATTTTATATGTTTCTAATTTTATCTATAAATTTGATGAGAGTTAATAGGGAAAAAATCAAATTATATTAAAACGGAGGGAGTAGCTAGTAGACGAAGCTAGGTGAGGAGGATGGTCACGCAGTTATCGTGTTGCACGGTTGCCGTGACAAGCAACCAACAAACCCAACCAGGTGATCTGTCTATCCCAGATCGTAAACCGGAGGGGGAGGTGCGAACCAAACATGCTTTTGGTGTTGGGTTGGTGTGTGTCCCCTCTCGACAGCGATCGAGCCGTGCGATCGAGCACGCACGCCACCGCCCCTCCATCGCGTCCTACGTCTATCTGTATCTGTCACCTCTCGCATGCACCGTGTGCTCCATCGCTGTCACGTCACCAACAGCTAAGCTGACTCCGATCCATCTCGTTAATCTCACGAACTACTCCTACTCTTCTTCTTTTTCTGATGAAGACGACGATGGAATGGATGCATGTTCAGGAGACGGCATTGCCATATGTAAACCGTGGAACCAGGATTTAAGTATGACTGTATGAGAGACCTAAGAGTATGGTGGAGTCTAGAGAGGGCTAAATATACTATATTTAGATTAATTAGATAATTATATGTGAAAAAAATTGTTGGAAGAGGGTCATAGGGTGCTCGTATTTACGGCTCATTATTCTTTCAGTGGTAGGTGGCGTATCCGTCGACAGTGAGACGCCTGTGGTGACTTCGTCAATCTCAAGACATGTCGGCCCAGTCTTCCGAAGGTGCTCATATGGATAAGTGTGCTCACGTTGTGAGCAGCTACGTTTGTACTGTGTTCCTTTAAAAAAATGTGGTGGTCGTTCCCGTTGTCCTGTCTCAGCTGCCAATGGCGGAGCCACCACCCGACTACCACATATATGGCTGTCCAGACTCATCATCAAAAGTTCCATTAAATTTTAGCTGTTGAAAAGAACTATTATGCAATTTCTATAAAGAATACTCGACAGGGTAGAGCTACTGTGTAATTACTCGGGGTTTAATGAGTAATGACCCCGGTGAAGTTTCCTAAATCCCATGGTAAATCATGTTAGTCACCATATATAAATAAGAACAGAGTGACTCCATGGTGCAATATGAGTGACCCCGTGAATTTTCTGTCTGGATAGATCCACCCCTGATACTCGATATTGTTGAGTTTTGTCGGGGTTTAAACATCTTTTCCTTCTCTGCTACTAGTCTGAGAGAGGCGGGCGATCGAGTGCGAGATCGTCCCGTGATTCTGGGGAGTTTCGCGCGAGCGATATATTGATTGCTAGTAGCTACTTGCTGTTGATTTATAGCTAAAAATATTTATATTTAAGGATGAAGGGAGTAGGTGGTTACATTGCTGGCATTGCTGCGCGATACAATAATGGATCGATCGATCGAGTTGCGCCAATGCAACTTGCGATTATTCAGACATGTACATTCAGTGCAGTGTGCAAGTGGCCGGCCGTGTGATCAGCTAGCAATATGTACTGTTTCGTGTCACGATCTCTGATGATATGTGATGATCAGCTGCCATGCATTTGTTGCAATGACGCTGCAGGCTAGATACGCGCGTAGAGTCTCTCTCTCTCTCTCTCTCTCCCTCCCTCCCTCTCGTGATCTCGTGTCTGACGATTAGCTCTCGCAGCTTCACACTGCATATGAATAGCTGAATATGTAGCGCGTAATCTGGCGAAAAAGTTCCAGGGGGAGAAACACAGTACAGTACTTGGAGGGTGCATGTCATCTGATCAGACGTGCATAGTTAGTGATTTGACCTCATGCGTCCTTCTTGAACAACGTGTATTTGGATCTAAGCAGGGGCGGATATAGAACAAGATTTAAGAGAGGACTCATCTTCTTCTTTCTTCTTCAGTCTTTCTACTCTTTATTTTCTCCCTGTTTTTCTCCTTTCATCTTCAATTCTATCAATGGTAATCCAGCGAGGTAAGGAGGACTCGAGTCCCCTCAGCATTCACGCTTGATTCGCCCTTGGACCTAAGTATGCTCATGGTGATGGCTAGCTGCTAATAGCTTAACTAATTAAGCTGCTCAATGACGAGAAATGAACCATCGTTTAAACATCCCCCAACTCTTCTTCAAATGAGTAAAGGTATCCATGATGGAGAGATCGATCAGACCATACACTGTAGATGACGATTTTTTGCCGTGAAATTTGGGAGATATTTATGGCTACAAAACGAGGGAAGGCGATGGTTCCTCGAAATCCAGACATACAGTCATCATTCAGCATGACCATACAGTATACACACTATACATGAGACCGGCAACCCATCCAGGGTTCCAGCGAATGCGGCATCGAGGCATGGATCGTTGGCTGCTAATTGGCTGCATCCCATGCCGCCCCCGGGTCCCGCCCCTGCCGGTACTTTGGTTCCATATTTATTAGGGTGCAGCTATACAACGGAATCCTGTTTTCAAACCGAATGATCCCGAGTAGCTATCAGGTGTGATACCTATCAAGTATTAGACGATTCTACACACGTTTCAGGTGATACTTACAAATATCATGTGATACTTATTAGGTATCATGCGATTTCTATCACGTATCGTGTGATGCTCGTGAGGTATCATGTGAAACCTGTCAGGTATCAGACGATTTCAACCACATATCGCGTGATACTCACGAGGTATCATGCGATACCTGTCATGTATCAGACGATTTCTACCACGTATCGCATGATACTCATGTGATACTTGTCAGGTATCAGACGATTTTTACCATGTATCGTGTGATACTTACGAGGTATCGGATGATACCTACCAGGTATCAAGTGATTCCTACTAGATATAACTGAGCATCCTGTTGGGGGAGGAGCACCCTGACACGCGCGGCGGCCCCCTGCAGCCGTCCCTTGTAGACGAGGACGGCAATGGCCGCGGCAGGGGACGGGTGCGGCGACGGCGGCGGTAGCGGGGGACGGGCGCGGCGGCGGCGGTGGGGGATGGGTGCGGCGTCGTCGATGGGGGACGGGTGTGGCGGCGGCGGCGGCGGAGGCGACGGGGGACGGGCGCGGCAGCGGCGGGGGACGGCGACGGCGGCGGGTGAGCAGGCCTGGTGCATATATGGATAAGAATCGCGTTATGAAGGAGGAGCTATCCCGTTGGGGGACGGTATCGCATCCCCTAGCATTCCCGTATTTCTTAACGTGTTGAGTAAAGTTAGAATTAAACTTTTACAACTTTAATGATATTTAGCTTAAAGTTATTACAACAATATATATAAATTTGTCTTATAAATACTATATATAAAAATAAAAGTTTATCTATTTATTGTATATATTAAAATAGAAAAATATAGTCAAATATATATTTCGGATATCGTGCTATTATCCAAAATATAAAAAAATTATGATATCAGAGGCAGAGAAAGATATTTTTACCCGGCTTCTACATCCAACCAGATATATGCAACCTTTTAAATCAGGAACTTAGCCCCTTAAACAATCCAATCTGTAAATTCGCTTATATGAAGAGTTGAACTCGTAACCTTGATGTGCTATTCAAATCATCGCACCTACTACATGCTC